CTCCTTACAAAAGCATAAATAATAATTACAGATACCAAGTTCATACCAAGCATCGGTCACAAACACGAACTGGTTGAGCATTCTCATCAGCAGTAAGGGCAATTCTACCTTGTGTGCACTTGTCACAAAAAATATCCCCACAATTCCTACAATGATGCTGAAATGGACAAGAATGAAGCATGAGGTTCAACAATCAATTACGAAATTGTTTTAAACATCCAATTCTGTGTTATATAATGATTGTTTATTTTGCAGGGCACACCTTCCGGTTAAAAGCATTGAAAATTGATGAACACGCGGTACATTTGTTAACTGCTTCATCAGGAACCTAATGGGGACAAACAGAGCAAAGAAATCAAACACAAAGAAATAAGAATTCTGTTATGACAAATTCTTCACAAACAAAGTACGAAAATTTGACTAATAAAATAGTATAATAATCAGTTCTAACCCAGTGATCCTTCTCTTCATGTCCCAGCTTCATCAAGTTCATCCAATCAATAAATGCTTTCTTCCTTTCTGCAGGTTGGTCGGCATCCTTCACTGCATCTGAAGGTTTAGTTGTTCCGCCCATTTCCTTGACCTACTTGCATGGGATGAGGTATCAGAATATGTACCCGAGTAAATTGCAAGAATAGCAATCATGGGATGACTATATTCAGATGGCAGAAACCAAGGCCTAGTTGGAATTTATGCCAGTCACACCGTGCAAAAAAGAAAAAATGTGCACGCAGAAAAGCTACATGCTTGTACGTAAGATACAAATTCACCAAAGAAAAATGCCACAGTGGAGATCTTTAACCTGAATGCTTGCTGCTGCCACCGTGTCCAAAATATTGTTTGTTGTATAGCTATTCGATTTCAGCCTGATGCGTCTTGGTTCAATGTCAACAGAACTTTTAGCCCAAAATGCAAATATATACGAGTCCAACACCTAGAAAGAGAGCGCAAAATAATTTTCCATAAACTATTTAGCAAATTAAACAAGACAACGAGCTTAGATATGGAAATAGTTGCTGACTTACATCCCATCTGGTGACACCCTCAAGTGGGTATATCTTTAATGTCCGACTAGTCGCTGGATCAAGTATACGAATTCCATCTAAACCAATCTGTAACACAATTATTATGCCTAGTAATTCAGCAACAACAGAACGCCGGAAAAGATCTAAAAATCACATCTTTCTTATAAAGCAAACTAAGAAAAATCAAAATAATTTCATGCTCAATCCCTCCTAAATTTAACAATATAATGACATATCACAAACCTGGCAGAGCACATCCATGTCAGACTGACTTGCACCTTCGGATAAGAGCCTGACTCGGTATTTCTGCACGCTGCCCCTAGTATCATGCAGCTCCTCAGGCTTTGGAGCTGCCTTCACAATCTTAGGAAAGCTTCCAGACCCATTCTGCTCCTTCCCACCGGGAACATTAATGGGCCTCCCATAATCATCAAACAGCACTCCACCACTCTCGAGTCGAGACCGGGTCCCTTTAGCACCATAGGGCTCTGAATTTCCCCCATTATATTTATAAACCCCAGCATCATACATCCCCTGATCACCATATCCCCCATGACTAACATTATTCCCGAATGAATTGTCGTAATTCTGCGAAGAACCATCATAAGAGGCCGATGAATAAGGATACGACGGGCTATAACTAGGATTTGAATTGGGATAATCGTAACTAACAGCAGCAGATGCAGCAGCAGCTCCAGGATTCTGATCGTACGGATAATAGGAAGTTTCCAGATGAGGGAAAGAGTAGGAAGGTAGATTGGAGGGCTGAGAGGCGGCAGGGCTAGGGCTTATAGAATAAGAAGGGGCAGGATCAGAACTCCGGGAATGGGGAGGGTAAGTGGAGGAGGAATAATTACTGGCGGAGAAATCGGCGGAGGGCGAATAATTGGAGGAAACCGGCGGGGCAGAGGCGTAGGCGTAGGAGGGGATTGTCGGGGTAGGAATAAACTGAGAATCCACGGGGACGTTGGGGTTGGGGCCGGGATTAGGGTTAGGGCTCTGGAAGTCGGGTTGATAATACTGGTAATACGACGAGCTCATGTCGCTTTGTTGTATAATTAGTACCAGAATTTCGATCGGAAAATCGACCGGCCAGACGGAGAAGATAAAGATTTTTCTTTTCCCTTATGCTTTTTTGGGTCGGGTTTTAATGGAGAATGGAGATTTGGCGAAGGATGGATGGAAAGTGGCAGAAGATACAGAGTGGAAGGCAAGGAAGCAGGAACGGGGGCGGGGAAAGTCAAAAGATGTTTGATACGCGCTTGACGGTTCCTTCCTTACCCGCCAATGGCCGTTATTGTTCCTTCTTGTGTGCGTGGTTGGATTTTGGATCGTAGATCTTGGCGTCGGGTCCTAATTCGTTACTATTGGACCGAATAACCATTTGTACCCTTGAATTAATTATATACGGATCCTAGTTTGGTTCTTAAATTTCAAAACGGAGCACATTAGTCCTCGAAATATTTTTGGACCGCAAATTTTTAAACACGTCTTTCGTGAATATATTTTTTAATTATTTTTTTATCTCATAAATATCAAATCATTATAGTATTTTTTTTATAAAAAATTTCAGAAAAATGCAATTCAAACAAGGCCACTTAAGTGAAATCGGTAATAGAAGTGGAACAAGTTCTATACTAAAGTGGGACAAATTTATATATGAGTTCTATACATTTTTTTTTTGTGAAAAAATGAGTTCTAAACTTAAACGAGACAAATTTATATGTAAGGGACTAAAGTTGAACAAAAATTTCATACTTGAAGGAATAACGTGGACAAATTTTATACTTTAGACACTCAGATGAGATAAATTTTATATTTGATGAACTAAAATGTCTCATTTCCTAAGTTTGAAGACCAAAATGATGATTTGGATATATTTTAACGGTGCAAAGTGTAATTAACCTTTACTATAATTATTTTGGCTTCATTTGTCTTTTATCAACAATTGCAAATTGACTTTTGTTGAATTTAATAAACCTAATCCCAGAAGAACCCTCAAAAGCCGGCAACTCTTGAGGGCCTCCTAGGGACTTATCTACCCAACTAACCCAACCCCCAACCCCCAACCCCGATGTTGGCTTCATTTGTTGATTTCCCTTTTTGGTTCCTAGCAAAGTACTGATGATATAAGCCCCTTCGTACTCTCAGAAACCTGAGAATTTCGACAGATAAATGAAACCCCAGAAGACACTTCAAAAGCCGGCAACTTTTGAAGTGCTCCTGAGTACTTAACTACCAAATCCCCCAAACCCCCCCAAGCGATGTGGGATACTAACCCCACAGGGTGCCCCGCTACTAAGAGATAACGACCCCGCTACTGATGATATAAGCAATTAAATTTTTTGTAAATAATCCACTATCGAACCAATTCTATATTTTTATGCGTTGTACGCGTGTTACAAGTTCGAGACCTGTAACTTGAAGAGGGTATAGCTAAAATATGTTTTAATTACTCGTTCACACGGATGTCTTCGTTCAATTTAATTTTACTTAAAGTATCAAAAAATAAATAAATACGCAGTTGCCCCCGATTTCAACCTTAATAATTAAGGATTAATGTGTGCATATTTACAAACGCACTACGTCACAAAATCGATACTTTAAGACATCTTTTCAGTGTCGACAAGTGATAATTCCTTTTCAAAGTTCTCATTATCCCACACTTCCACAGACCATTATTATTTACTACTCCCTCCCATTTTTTATAACTGACGTTTAAGAAATTCGCTCTGGTGTACTTTTATCTGTCGTTTTATTATCCCTATATAATATTAATTATTTGTTCACAATTTTATCCTTTTATCTCTTTTTTTCAATACAGGGTTCTTAATTATTAATCCTAGTAATTATTGCTTCTCTCTTTGTAACAACCATAGTAAAACAGCACAATTTAGTACTCTAATGAGATAAAATATGGGTAAATTGGACAATTAATGAGGGTATAAAAGGAAAGTAGTGTACAGATTTAAACAATGAAAATTTTTTCTTAATTGCTGTGCAAAATCTTAAACGCCAGTTATAAAAAAGGGGAGGGAGTACTAAAGTTTCTTGTTAATGATGTCCGACGATGCGTGGATGTGCACCAAACGCCTACCTAACTCCGCAAATGAAATTTTGTAGGAATCTTTATTAACCACTAATCAATCATGAGATGGACGAAAGAATTCTCATCTCACATACGTGGTATATCCTGCAAGAATAATAACACATTTTTCATTTTCAGCAGTAATTCTAGCTCAAGGCTTCAGAGGTGAACAAGAAAAATCTTGTTCTGATTTTTTTTTTTTTTTTTTTTTGCAGAAAATTTTTTACGTTATTTAGAAACATGTTTTTTAATCACATCTTTATCTTACATACATCACATCACAGAAAAATATTACTGATCATTATATCACATAAACTCATTATTTCCGCATTGATTGAAGCTTAACCACTATCAGCATGTTATTAGAAGAAGATTAGAGTATTCGATTCTAGCTAGCATCTTTTGATCAAACATATCCGATTAACTTTATTGCATCCGGACAAATGGGATGAGGAAACACTGCTCAGGCATCAACCGTCTGATTCTACTAGTAGCCCCCTAATGCCCAGTTAGAGCATTAATCACCGGCCACGGAAGCCACTCCAACTAGGTATATAATCATGATGATTGAAGGCAACCACTTACGCCATCAGATTAACTTCAAAAAATGACCACAAGTTCGAGGCTCCCTGCGATCAAATCAACTGCAGACTCCAGAAATTAATTGATAAGGGTAGAAATTTCATCGAAGGTTATGATAGCGTGGGGTCCCTGGGTGCCGACGTGGTCCGAGGACACATGGCTCAAAACAAGTCCTCCACGTGTGTGTCACTTGCGGGCTCCCCTGTTGCCGACCTTATGGCAACCGGTCAAAGTCGACATTTGCTGCCTCTCCTGTCTCTTAGCCTCTACTCTCTACTACTGCTATATATAGTCCCGGTGCTAATGTGCTGGGACTGCCACCAAAGGCGATTCTCTGGTACTTTCCGGCTGCATACTGCTTCTAGCTCGAACCTTATCGCACAACGTCAAAAAGCCAAGAAAAGAGTTTTCAAGAAATGGGTTTTTTAGACTACCTCTCAGATAGGTTTGAATGGCACAACACTTGGGGTGAGAGGAGAAAGCTCAAGAAACTGAAGAAAAGGCCCCTTCAGGTACGTAACCAATCAATAAATTTTTCCAAAAAGCAGTTATTAGACGTTGGTTTCTCATGCAAATAATAATAATACTTGGTTTTTTTTTTTTTTTTGGTTCATCAGACGGTGGATATAAGAGTGAAGATTGACTGTGAGGGGTGCGAAAGAAGAGTGAGGAAGTCGGTGGAACACATGAGAGGGGTTTCAGAGGTGGAGGTTGATCCGAAGAAGCACAGGTTGAGAGTAATCGGGCATGTGGATCCGGATAAGGTGTTGCGACGGGTGAGACATCGAACCGGGAAGAAAGCTCAGTTCTGGCCTTACATCCCCCAAGAGGTCGTCGAGCATCCCTATGCTCCTGGGGTTTATGACAGAAAGGCTCCGGCTGGTTACGTCCGGAACGCGGTGGATAATCCTCAGATTTCTAGCCTTGCTCGTGCCAGTTCCACTGAAGTCAAGTATATGACTGCGTTTAGTGATGACAATCCTAATGCTTGTTCCGTAATGTAAACTAGTTAGTATCCATCCATCGCGTGTGTGTATATTTACATGCAATTGCATGGGTTTTAAGAGTTCTATCCTTAATATCAGAACTGCTTCCTTTCTGAGAGAGAATAGAAGGTCTGTGAAAGGTTTCAGGCTGAACTCCCTCTCCAGGAATTATCGTCAAATCACATGACTTATCCACATTCTTGCAGCCAGTTTCCAAATTTCCCTTGACAATTTTCTCTTTCTCAATGTCCTGTATGGGAGTAGACTCAGGAATAGCAGCTTCATCAGAAGGTACTAATGAAGTCCTTTCTCGCCTTTTCTTCCGTTTCTTACTGCCCAGACTGGTGACCGGTTGGTCATCCTTGAGTTGTTCAGATGCAGCATTTGTGACGGATATGCTTTCCTGTTTGTCTGTCGTACAGGATGCCAGCTGGGTAACCTTTTTCCTTTTACTAGAATGTGAACGATCTCTGACATTTTCTTCCATTCCTAAGTTGAGGCTTTTCTCTACAGCAGGCTCAGATTGTGATGTTTTAAGAGCTGCCGCTATGTCACTCCAGTACAAATCTGAAGTCTTACGCCCATCAACATCTTTGTCTCTTATCTCCATCATAATTTCTTCTTGGGCATCTTCTTGGGCAGCACGACACCGGATGCATCTTTATGCTGTATAACCAAATGAGAGGACAGTCAAGTCAGCTTCTTTGTATTAGTTAGGTGATGATTTGCAATAAAGTGGCTTTTCTAACACATTTTTCTAAAGACGCCCCATCTTTTCTCTCGAACATTAATCGACCAAAAATATAATCAAAGATTGAACCATAATTACAACTAACTTCTACAAACAACGGTGGAAATTTCCCAATACTTGTACATCTAATTTTGCTGTTGCATATTTTAGCAGTTTGGCAATGGGTGTGAGGGAGTCATATGCGGTAACCTGAATTTTTTCCCTCTTTTGTTTCTTCCTACTTAATAAGGTTTTGCCTTGACTTGTTATTACAAACTCTTGGAATTCGAATTATGTATCAAGTTGGAAAAACATTCGATTTAGCGCAGAAACTAGATACTCGTTATTTTTAGATTCCCATTTAAGTTTCACAAAATTCAGAATTAGTGTAGAATCGAGTCTAAAAAATAACAAAAGTTAATCCGATGCATTATAACAAAATAAAAATATTGTGATGCAAGCGACTCGATTCGGTTCGTTTGCGCTCCGAGTTAAGATGCATGAATGCATCCTTTGAGTCAAAGATCGAAAAATTGTTATGGATTAAATTGGTAATTTCACGAATTTAATTTACTCTATTAACCATCAAGTTGTTAAGTTCGAGGGCCAAAGATTAAAATTAGGTTCTTTGAAGAATTCCACTAAAGAAGCCAATTTTTAACAAATTGCCCTCCGGCCCCTTCCACTTTAGAAAGGACCAATTTGGATTTGGGTTCTTTCAAATAATCCAATCCAACAAAAAGAAAAAGGGCGCTGACTGGCAGTTGCTCCAAGCCTGTGATAGAGAGAGAGAGAGAGAGAGAGAGAGTCAAAACGTGACCATAATTCGTCGTCGTTTACGAGAACAGCTCCTCTTTGGTGCTACTGGTAATTAGTAAAGTTAATAACAATAGACAGAAACAGGAGAGGGCGAAAGAGGATCGTGATGCATCATAACGGAGTCGAAGACGAAGAAAAATGGTTGGCCGCCGGCATCACCGGCCTGCAGCAAAACGCCTTTTTTATGCATCGAGCTCTGGTAATACGTTTTTTCTTTTTGTTTTTCTTTTGGGAGCATGAAAGTCGGTCAATGAAGTCGTTCAACGTAAACCCTAATTGGAGTTGTTTGGATCGGATTGCAAAAAGGATTCGAATAATTTGAAGGATGCGCTCAAGTACTCAGCTCAGATGCTTTCGGAACTTCGGACTTCGAGGCTTTCTCCTCAGAAATATTACGAATTATGTATGTTTTACTGATCGGATCTTGCATTTTGAGACTGAGATATTTATTTGGTTCATTTATTGTAGAAATTTATTTGTTTGGTTCACTTATTGTCTATTTTTTTGGGGATGGGGGTCGGTGTTATTAAGCAAGTGTTCGTTCATATATTGGCTTTTTGACAACTGATAAGTCTGGGAATTTTATTTTGCTTTTAGATATGCGAGCATTTGATGAATTAAGGAAGCTAGAGATTTTTTTCAAGGAGGAGACCAAGCGTGGTTGCTCAATAGTTGAATTGTATGAGCTGGTGCAGCATGCTGGCAACATATTGCCCAGGCTGTGAGTAGGATTCTCTTTGTAGATGTTACCGTTTTCTTAAATTGGAAGTCAGAAAATTTACAGTTTAAAAGAATGGAAGATTTGCATCCGACTTTTATTTCTGAAGATAGGACCTAATAGTAGGATATACTTATACCTCTTCCGAGTAATTATTAAAGTGCTTGTATGCATGTAATTTGGGTTGAATATGCACTTAATCTAAATGTGTAATTACAACTTACTGTCTATGATTTATGTCACGAGGAAGACTGTCAGTGTGTGTATAATAGACCAGTGAGACTAGTATAAATGAGAGCCATGATTGCTACACGATTGCCTTGAACTAGAGCAGCCAAGTCTTTGAGATTAGCATTTCTTGATTGACGTCTGTTCATATGTAGTGCTTCTGGAGATAAGAATATACCTGTCTGGAAAATTATGGCCAAGGGCAAGTTTAGAACCTTCAAAATTGGGTGGGATATAGGTTTTTGCACTTTTATAGTTAAGCACTGTTGTGCCACGTTTGAATTTTAGGTCATCAGCTTTCTCCACCACCATCTAGCTCAGTGTTGCCTAAAGTTTGGCAATGAATGAGTTTGACTTTTTTTCGTGTTCCTCTTTATTAAGTTGATGCTTGTAGCTAAAGTTAGTCTGCACGCTTCAATCACCAAAATCCCCCCACTCTGACCTCTTGAGGAGAGGGATGGAGGGAAGAGAAGTTAAATAACTTTCATGACAATGTGTTGGTGTTCTTTTGGTTATAATATCCACCAACCTAATATATACTATTCGACAAAAATAAATCTACCATGGAGCACATGGTGGATGTGCAATTCTCATTTCTTGGGCTTTTAGTTGCAACCTGCAGCATTAATTTCAGATTCTTCTTTCTTTTATTCAGGTATCTCCTTTGTACTGTTGGGTCTGTGTACATAAAATCCAAGGAAGCTCCCGCAAAGGATATTCTTAAAGATCTTGTGGAGATGTGCCGTGGCATACAACATCCTTTACGTGGGCTCTTTCTAAGGAGTTACCTTTCTCAAGTCAGTAGGGATAAATTACCTGATCTGGGTTCTGAGTATGAAGGGTAAGCACCTAAATCTGTGTATATTATTGCTAATTTTTGTTTGACAGCTCTATCTGTGAGGATTTAATAAGTGTCTCTGTCCATAAGGGAATCAAGAAGAGTAAATTAATTTTGGTAATGCATGTAGGATACAATAAACCCTGATAAAGCTGTCTGTTTTCACTGTTTTCTCTTCATTGTATCCTTTGTTTTTCCATTTTTTTCTTTCTATAAGAGTGTTTGTACACTTTTTAATCTCTCTTTTGTTTATTCCCGCTTTAATTTATAGGGATGCTGAGACAGTCTCGGATGCTGTGGAGTTTGTACTCCAAAATTTCACAGAGATGAATAAACTTTGGGTTCGAATGCAACATCAGGTTGGTTGACAGTTTTGTGGACTCTGTTACCTGCTCTCATGCTTAGACATGCGCCATGCCTGCTAGCGTGTCTCGAGGGCAAAAAGTAAATCATGAGAGCATGGTTTGTCATCATGCAGGTGTTTAATTGCTTGTCAATGATTCATACTCTTTGCTGATCATGAGTTGAGGATTGCAATCGGGCTTTATGGTCTGCAGGGACCTGCTCGGGAGAAGGAGAAACGTGAAAAAGAGAGGAGCGAGCTTCGTGATCTTGTAATAATCTGTAATCCAAGATAGGGTCTACCAGTCATTTCAGATGAACAATGATTATATTCACTCACGCAAGAGTTCTCCTGTGATCTTTACTAGGTGGGGAAGAACCTACATGTTCTCAGCCAGATTGAGGGTGTTGACCTTGATATGTACCGAGAGACTGTTCTTACCAGGGTCTTGGAGCAGGTATTATTGGTTTTCCTCAAGTTTGTTTTCAAGTTTTCTGGATTCTCAGTGTAAGTATAATGCTAGGGTGCCTTTATTGTTACTTCCAGGTAGTCAACTGCAAGGATGAGATTGCACAATGCTACTTGATGGATTGCATAATCCAAGTATTCCCTGATGAATATCACTTGCAGACACTTGAAACTCTACTGGGTGCTTTCCCACAGCTTCAGGTTGATTTTGCTTCTCGTTTAGGAGAATCTATGGATTTTTGAAATGTTTAAGTGCATAGAGTTAGATTGGACAGATTGGATATTTTTGGATGACTGTAAGGATTCATTCCTATGTGTATTATTATTCCAATGCTTTTTGACAGATCTCTGAACATTTTTCAAGCCAAAGTGCTATACGACCACTCTGTTTACTAGCATTAAAGACACTCGTGTTTTATGTATCCTTTTCAGCCTTCTGTTGACATCAAGACAGTGCTTTCTCGACTAATGGATAGGCTGTCAAACTATGCTGCTTCAAGTGCAGAAGTAAGTAATTTGAAAGTCTATATTTCTGTCAATTTGTGGTGCTTAAATGTGGATTTTGGTTTGTGGAATTTCCTAAAATTCATTTATCTATATAACTGCCAGAAATTTAATGTTGCAGGTTTTACCTGAGTTTTTCCAAGTAGAAGCTTTTGTGAAACTGAGTAATGCCATTGGCAAGGTAAATATGCGCTGTTCCCCATGAAAGTTGTTCATAATCTTTGTTTAAGTTCTACACGATAACAAAAATCCTTGCATCTGCAAAAGTTGTTTGCTTTGAGCATGTTGACCTTTACAAGTTTTGAAGTTAACATAATGTAGCAATTGTCAAACGACTCAAACCTTTTCTCTGCTTGTTCTACAAAAATGAGGGTTCTGATTAACATGTTGTAGTTCTTCTTCTCCATTTTCTTTTGCTGTTGCTTTAGTGGGGTTGCTTTGTTGAATTGTGGGAGGAAAAGGTTCCTTTGTCTGCTTGTGCAATTAGAAAGGCTACTGAATAGAGTTAATCTTTCTCTATAAGTTCCTTATCTTTGGAAAAATGAACCCTTCCTGCTAATGCCTGAGAATGGGTCAGCAGTTTCTCTTTCCTTGTTGATTAATCAATTAGGATGGATATCCAAACTATTTCAGAAATATCTGATCTCATGACCATTTATAATGCAGGTGATTGAGGCGCAAGATGACATGCCAGTTATTGGAGTTGTAACTTTGTATTCGTCTCTTTTGACATTTACGCTTCAAGTGCACCCAGATCGTCTTGATTTTGTGGATCAAATATTGGTAAATCATCTTTGCATATTACGTTAGAGTTTTATTGTTACTTTTTATGTAGATTGCATAAGTTTGTACATCAAGGTTTTGAAAACCCATGTCCAATCTTTTCATGAACAGATGGGTGTAAGATAAGCTAAAGAACTGTTTATAATGTAGAGCAGACACATGGGTTTTTGAATTGTGTTCTAAATTTCTGTTGTAAGTACATGTTTGTGTTGTTTTCCGGAAATGGGTTTATAGTTGTCTATCTTTGGGCTCAACCATCTTTCAATGGATATTTTATTATACATAACTATGAAGATAGGCTTCATAAGTTACTCAAGATTAGCAAATTAGGGAGGCCAGGTTTGCCATGTGGCCTAGAGATGTAGTTGATTCTTCAGAAGTATATTTGATTTAGTTACAAGAAAAACATTGCCAAACTGATTTGTATTATGGCCTTATAAGAGGGATCATTTTTTTATTCTCTTTCTTGTTCAGGGACGGTTTAAGATGTAGATTTTTGTTTTCTTGAGAAAAGTCTTACTATGCTAGTTTATCCATTTGGTAATTAGCATTTCAGACATATATGAAACTTCCCAAGCGTGATACTTGCTGAAGCAGCTATGCTTCTGGGTGGTGCTACTATCCTGCAGGGCGCTTGTGTGACGAAACTTTCTGGGAAAGGAAAGCTTGAAGATAGCAAATCAAGAAAACAAGTTGTTGCACTTCTAAGTGCTCCGCTTCAGAAATACAATGATATAGATATCGCATTGAAGCTTTCAAATTATCCCCATGTGATGGAGTACTTAGACAATGGAACAAAGAAGGAGATGGCCAGTGTCATAATTCAAAGTATCATGAAAAATAAGACATTAATTTCTAACTCTGAGAAGGTATGTTTCTGAAGATGTGGTATTCTGCCCTTTCAGGTTATGTGTTGATAACTTGGGAGTATTTCCTTGTAGGTCGAGGCCCTGTTTGAGTTAATAAAGGGACTCATTAAAGATTTAGAAGGGAATCTTCAATCTGAGGTAATTTAGATTTAAACTCCTGATCAGTGGGTCAGTTATATAATTTATTATCCCCGTATTCCCTCTATTTCAGCTTGATGAGGAAGACTTTCATGAGGAGCAGAATTCCGTTGCACGTCTTATTCAAATGCTTCACAATGATGATCCAGAAGAAATGCTTAAGGTGATAACTGTTTGGCCTTATAAAATTTGAGTGCACAGTGCCAACAACATATGTATCTTTCTACTTGCTTGTTCTCTAGTATTATGGGCTTTAGTTGGGCTTGATGAAGGTACATATATATTGTTTCCCTGATGATTTTTTTTTTGGGTTGGGGGGGGGGGGCGGTTTCAATTCTCTCATTTCCTTTATCTCTCGTTTTCTTGTAATTAATGGATTTATGGATTTTGGCTTTCCTTAATCATCAGTACCTGTTATATTCCTTGTGTCATGTCATTCTGTGTTGAGTTTAACTGACTCTATACCATTTCAGGTAATAGGAAATTTGACTCTTGTCAAGTTCAGTTGAATGCGGTCCTACTGCTTTTATTTTGTTTTGTTTGATTTAAAATGAGGGCTGAAGTTTTATTTTCCGTTCAAGTCAACAATGCTTGTCCTGCTTTTATTTGGTTTATGGCGTGTCTTCATTCTAAAGATGAATTCTTCTTCTTTTTTTCCCCCTAAAGATGAATTCTATTTGTCTTGATACTGGGATGTTGATATAATGGATCATGTTAGATTCTGAAAGAATTACGTGGTGACAAATTTTGTCCCCCCTTAAATACCAAATAAAAGGGGGAGGGGAATGGAAGGATGCAGACTTTCTTTTCCCTGTTGCTAATCTAGCAGTTTGAAGCAACCGTTTGTTGCATTTTATACTTAGTAATGTTGACATTTTGTTATTTTTATAGATTATATGCACTGTGAAGAAGCATATTTTGGCTGGGGGACCTAAGAGGCTTCCCTTTACAGTCCCTCCCCTAATCTTTAATGCTCTCAAGGTATGTATTGGCTGTGTTGTGTGTTGGATAAGGTATAAAGATTCACAGCTTTTTGATGAAATTTTCCTGATAATTTATTGGTATTGAGGGGGATAATGGCTGTCTGCAGATGTCGGCATGACTTCTGCTGATGTATTTTTTATACTCCTTAGAGAAGCTAAACTAAATGAACAAGTGTGTACCAAGTACTGTTTCTGCATGTTGTGGGCAGTTATTGGTTACCATTATAAAGATTTTTATTGCTAAACTTAACTTATGAAATTAGTTCGATTTCCTCTTAATATATGCAGATCAAGATATCTATCTTTTCCACGCTTGACTTGGATAACTCATTAGACAGATGTTGCAACCATTCATAAATATAATTGCACTGGTTGGGGGGGGAAGAAAACTGTAACAGTGAAAGTCCTAACTTCAAATGAGAACTCCAAGGAATTAAGGAAGATGGTGTCAGGGGTGAGGACATATTCTGGGGCTGTGATACATGGATGTTTACCTCCATTTTGAATTTGGTTTAGTATCTGTTTTTAACTAAATGAACATGTGGGATTTATTCTAAATCATGAGACTCAGATTCTTTGCTGCATTTCTTTAATCTTATGTAGGCTTGACTTATTTTCTTGTTGAACTGTTTTATTGCTCGGAAAATGCAGTTGATCAGACGACTGCAAAATCGGGATGAAAATGTCGCTGAAGAAGACACACCTGCTACACCTAAGAAAATCTTTCAAATACTGAACCAGGTAGTTATGCTCAGTGAGGCTACAATAAGCCTTCATAAGGACACAGCCAGATGTTGGCTATAGAGACCCCCTCTGTGTTTTTGGTCTAGAAGTGAATTTACCTGATCTTATCTATGTGGTCCAAGTTCCTTGAATTCTTTTCAATGAACTCTTTTTTTTTTTTTTTTTTTCGGTTTTTTTGGGGGGGGGGGGTCTTCCAGCTCCTTTTCATTTTTCTTGTGCCTGTGCTCTTTGGAGCTCTGTTTGCAGGATATGCCAAACTGTAATATATCTGAATGTTCTTGTTTATACACTAAGCAGTTGCTGTTCTTTTCCTTCAGATAATTGAAGCTCTGTCCAGTGTTCCTGTACCTGAAGTTGCTATGCGACTTTACTTGCAGTGTGCTGAGGTATACTTAAATGACATTTGGCAGTAGAGATGGAATATTGTGCTTTATTTGACCTGCTTATGCATTGTTGATTCTCAGGCTGCTGATGACTCTGATCTTGAACCTGTTGCCTATGAGTTCTTCACCCAAGCTTATCTACTATATGAAGAAGAAATTTCGGTAAAGTTCATTATTTTCTTAAAAGAGAAGGATATTAGTGTACCTTGTTTGGCTTGTATATAACCTATTTTCAGGTGACCCTGAAACTGTTGGGGCTAAATTTTAATAGTGCAAGTAATTGTGCTCATTCTCTTCCTTTCTTTGATTTGGATGATGCGGTAGGATTCTAAGGCTCAAGTAACTGCAATACACTTAATAATTGGGACTCTTCAGCGGATGCACGTCTTCGGCGTTGAGAACAGGGATACGCTGACACACAAGGCTACTGGGGTAACTAGTAACATATTTTTTTTTGTAATTGGATTGAAGAGTATGGTTAATTGTGTTGAGGATCTTATTCTTGTATTACCCCTATTTGCTGTGTAGTATTCTGCGAAACTTTTAAAGAAGCCTGATCAGTGCAGAGCTGTATATGCTTGTTCACACCTTTTCTGGGTTGATGATCAGGATAGCATCAAGGATGGGGAGAGGTGAGTCATAATATATTCATTATCAATATAAGGCCACCTACTTTTACACACACACACACACACACATATTTATGCTTTGCATCATTCTGATTGTCGAAATAATATCATTTAGAATCACAATCCAGATTTCACGTGTAAATGTCTGTATACGAGCTGACTGACTGTTCGTGGACACCAGTGCATTGATTTGTTTCATAAGTCGTACAATGTTGTTTGATTGATGACAGCCTTTCCTGTCCTCATTGTTATTTCCCTTCTTGGTTTTCTTCCTTGCCAGGGTCTTGCTTTGCTTAAAACGTGCTTTAAGAATTGCAAATGCCGCTCAACAAATGGCGAATGCAACTCGAGGCAGTGGCGGATCTGTCACGCTGTTCATTGAAATACTGAACAAGTGAATATTTCTTTATCGCTGTCTAAAATTTAATTTGTGGTTTATTGCGGATAAATAATGAATAAATATGTTTTACTGTTGACTTACCTATTTAATTTCCGGATTAAAATCTCAGGTATCTCTATTTTTTTGAGAAGGGGGTCACACAGATTACAGTTGCTTCTGTACAGAGCTTGATTGAATTGATCACAAATGAAATGCAAGGTGAGAATGCAACACCAGATCCAACCGCGGATGCTTTCTTTGCGAGCACACTACGCTTCATCCAGTTCCAGAAGGATAAAGGCGGTGCAGTGGGTGAAAAATACGAGGCAATTAAGGTTTGACTGGTTGGAGGTACAATGCAGAATCCACGTTTCACATGTCAAAAGCATTAAAATTTTTACAATTTTGGGGATGTGAAGAGTTTTTTTAGTTCTTGGACAATGAAGAGAATCATTTGGCTGCAACATATGGGTTGTGGAATGTAGTCATTCTTTGGGTTTTGACTATAGTCAGGCATTCAAACATCTGGGGAGGTTTTGTATATTAACTTGGTTGACGAGTATAGCATAGGATGGACAATCTTTGTAAGAACCCTTTTTTCTTTTTTTTTTTTCCAACAATAATTGTTGAAAGTAACTTTTTTCTTATTCATGTGATATCTCGGAGATTTCACTTCTAGCAGAGACCCGTAACGTGAATTTTCCTTTTAATTTGTGTACGCGTGGGCATTGTCTCTCGCCTGTTGTCGGTTTTCCGTGTCGTCTTGGATAGCACGGCTTTAAATCGCAAACGATGTGGCTTCCATTCTGGCCGCCGTACCCCCGGCGGCCGGGAGGGGGGGGGTTGTGAAACTTCGGAGAGATGCAAGCGAATTTGAATGAAATAAAGGGAAAGAAGGCACAACTCGAAGCTTTGCATTTTATGATGAAGAAACCATCCATAAAGCAAATTAAAATTTTATTCTGTCTGGACGCACGCACTACTCGTGGTGGCGCTGAAGCCTTAAAGTAGGAGGGGAGAATGGATCGATTCTCATGAGTAGACATTTTGGGGTGAATGGAGACCCGATGGGGGGCGTCGAGGGATTCAGGTTCAGCACATGGCATACTTGTGCGTCCAGCTACGGGCCATAGATTCGTACTTGACTCTATCAGTCTTGTGCATGTGAGCAATTTCTGGCACTAGTGGATCGTCTGGGTTTGGATCCGTGAGAAGTGAGCATATGGATAGTAGAACCTGCAAACCGCACAAAAACCATTACCACCTCTCTAACATGGAAGAACTTGAAGAAGAGTAAGATGCGCCCGAACATGGAGAGAAGTAGTTAGTTTACCTTGGATATGGTGAGCGCTGGACTCCATTGATCCTTGAGGATGTCCAAGCAGATATTTCCATTGTTATTTATATTTGGATGGAATACTTTGGTTCTGAATGCAACCTGTAAATTTGTCAATTCAGTCTTTTTTACGGAAAACAGTTAAAAAAAAAAAAAAAAAACTCAGGATGCATGCAACGGATAAGTTAATACTACAATTAATATTCGTAGAGAAGCGTATTCTCTCGTTACGTAAAAAGGTAGACTTGCTTATGTTTTGGTGGTAATGGTCGTGCTCGTAAATTTTTACCTTGGGAGGTTTGAAAGGGTAATCAGGTGGAAAATGAATGGTAACTTGGAAGACACCACCTGCATAAGGGCTGTCGTTTGGGCCAATTATGGTTGCTTGCCAGTGAAACATGTCTTGAGCTACGGGTCCTGCAAGCTACCGCATGAACTTATCAGTCATTTATTTATTTAAGAAATAATAATAATAATCTTCTTTAAAAAACGAGACCTCGTTTCGTTTCGGTTTAGCTCGAAAAAAGGTTTATCATTTCAAAATACACTACTAGGTTTATCATTCATTTCAAACAAGAGAAAGTAGTCAGTCTCGTTGAAGGTACGGTACCTGCGCTGCATGAAGTGGGCGGGTCTCTTTGCAAGTCCCTGAGCTCTTTGAGAATTCTCCTGGATGCCATTTCCTCAACAAATTTTCTTGGTCGAGGACGAAGAAGATCTTCAGCTCTTAGCCTGGGATGTCAACTGTCAAGAAAGGAGCTCAATGTCTCTGATGGAGGATCTCCAAATACAGGAATACATATATACATGTATATATTTATAATGCGAGCCACTTGAGCCGAAGCCGTCCCCACAATTTTCCTCCTATTCAAAAGGCCGAAGTATCTATTCGACGGCAGAAAGCTGAGTTCGCGGCCCCAGCCAATTTGCGTACGTTCCTTTAGTCGTAAAAAGAAGAAAAATATTCCTTAGCAGGACAAAACAGGCTGGTGGTTCCCATTTCATACGTCTCATCAAGCAAAGCAAGCATATGAGTGCACGAACTTGGTCGGTCAACTTGCATTTAGGAAAGGTGGGGGGAATTTCATATTTAACCTTTCAAATGGAATCTTACTTGACGGAATAGTCATCAATATTCAAGATTATCAAAAGGGATTTTGTTATGTTAAACGAATTTCACACGGCTTTAGTTCATATGATTGAATCTTTTCCATCTCCAAGCTTAATCAGAGAAAAGGTTTAAACTCAACTGTATGTAACCAACACTAGTATAAAGGAAACGTGAGCCTTTGCGAAATTTTGCTCCTTATCCATCAGAACGATCATTTAATCCTTATCTTTACACACACACGCACGCACACAAATTGGTCCCGGTGATAGATAAGGGAAATTGGTTAAAATCTTAAAAATACGAGATCAAATTGGTCATTTTCCCTTTAAAAATAGCCAAAAATTAATCACGTGCGTGGCATGTGCACTGATAAGATTATTGACTATTTTGGTCCATTATGCTCGTAATCTTGTTCAATTTTATCCCTTATATGTCATTGCATACCAATTGGGACGTATGTGTGTGTGTATTTTTTTTCTCTATTCAGCCTTTTCCCCCCCTCGAAGGTACATTTATAATGCACGTATTTGGCTCTATTAAAGTTTTCATGTTTCTTATTAAAAGCCCTATGTTAACTTTGTTTATGAAAGTGAAAGCTTAAATTGCTAAAAGATAAAATTGGAAATGACCTTGTAGATAATAGGTCAAAATGGTCATTTTCAGTGATGCACATGCAGCACACATGATTAATTTCATTAGAATTTTCAAATTTCCATTGGAGGTCTTAAATTAGTAGTTATTATTATTACTATTTTGGATAAAGGTGAGGGGCTAAATTTATCAAAAATCCAAAAATGAGAGACCAAAATGGTCATTTTATGAAAGTAGAAAATGCAGATCATATTCATCAAGAAATGCAAAATTTAAAGAAGACCTAGTCTAGTTGAGTTGATACCGTGCAGAGCATACGTTTTTCAAAAAAAAAATTCGGGACCGCATTGATTGTGGCCACTTTCAAATTTTTAAAGCAGATTCTGTAAATAAAGAAGGATCAACTGCAGGAGGTCAACCCCGTCCTCTTGCGTTCTTCCTTTTTTTTTTTTTTTTTTTTTTAGGAGTGTCTCGCGTACTATTCCCTACCCTCCCTCCATACCTTGCTGATAGTAAGGTTCAAATCGGGACCTAAGGCTCTATCTTCAGTAACCTGAACCGTCAGACCAAGCCTCGGCATCCTCTTGCGTTCTTCGTTCTGGAAGAAAAAATGCCCCTAAAAGAAGAGAAAAGGACTGAGTGGATCACGTTAAATCAACAGAGCCTTATCCAGAAACTTTGTCGTAATTCGAAGCCAACTTTATTCCTTTTCTATCAGCCCCAAGATGGGGTTTTGATAATCATATCACCAATTAGTTCGCAAACTCATCAAACTAAATATAAACCAGATGCAATCTGCTTCCTTGAACTTTCAAGCGCGACTTAAATTCACCCAATAATATTTGAAATTTACGTGAAAAGATTTTATCTATTTGAGTTGGATTCGAACTTGATTTCATAAAAGGGATTCAAACTTGACCTTAACAAATAGTCTACGAAAAAAACAATTTAAAATATAAAAAGCCTAAATTTAAATATAATTTCAAAAATTTTTGAACCCGATATCATTCAACCTAATTGGGCTCTTTCATTCCCTTAATCGAATAAATAAAGGAATCAAAATGATTAGATTAATTCAAAAAAGAAAAAAAAAAAAAAAGGAAAAGCTAAAATGTAGCGTGGTGAATAGGCAAGTTCAGGGAGTGCTAAAAAGAGATACTCCAGGAAAGAAAATGATAAAAAGGAAAATTTCGAACCCAGAGGCAAAAGGCACCCCCATTTTGACTTGAATACGAAGATCGGGGCCCCTGTGACTTTACCACCCTTGTGACTTGAATTCAAGCTTTTATTAGCGCCCCAGCCCTTGCTTTCCAGTTTTTCAAGGAACTTAAAAAAAAAAAAAAAGCCCTGAGCATCAAATTTAAAGTCTGAGAGGCGCAAGGTTATCCTGATTCATCATTTATTATTGCCAGCACTGGCAGCAAAGATTTTCTGACACGGAAATTGAGGAGCTACTTAATTTTGTTGCCAGCACTGGCAAAGGTCATTACATTCCTGACACGAGTAACTGGGCATGGCAGCCGCTACGACATGATATGATACAAATACAAATAATGCAGCAGATGCAGAGGGAGAGGGTACTTAGCACAGAATATCTTTAGATCCTCTAAATTTCATAAGAAAATCAAACAAATCTAGATTTTCATATAGAAAAATGAAAATAACAAAGATGACAACAGTGAGGCGAAACAAATTTGTTTTCCTAACTGGATCTTCAGGTTGTTAAAACACAAAAGCAAACCAAAACAAGGAGGGCACAAAGCAGTGGCCTACAAAGTAGTGACTCAAAAAGTCAGAGATCACTGCAAATTACAAAAAAGCCGAGCCGCTTGAAACTTCCACAGATAGATCAATGGACTTTCACTGGAGACGTAGAAGGACCTCCCTACTTCCTCTGAGACAAAGGCAAAGCAGCGAAAGAGACACGGGCGATACAAGGAGAAGGAGTGGGTCATGTCCATCACAATATGGAGCAAGCCTTTTGGGCCTTTCCCTTCTTCTTCTTTTGCTTTGGCGGCTGGAGCACAACTTTAATTGCAGCATCAAAAACTGATTTCACATTCTGCAACAAGGAGGTTATCAAGGAAGAACTTAGTCAAATTCTTCCCAAATATATCTACTGAAAGAAAAAGCTGAATGATCTAAAAAGCAAACATACCTGCTGTGTCTTAGAACTACATTCAATGTAGGCAGGTGCTCCAATCATTTTTCTTAGCTCCTCTCCCTTGATAATTCAAGAAAATTTAATATCAGCAAATCTTAAAAGTAATCTCATCTCCCATTAAGCAAAGAAATATATTGAAGTAATCTTTACTTGTGCTGTAGTTATTGGCACTGCACCAGGATGGTCAATGAAGAATTGCTTATCATCCCGAAGATCTGAATGTGGTGCGATCAAAAACCATGAAAATTAAGACTGCAACATTAGAGAATAATAGAAATCTACTTGAAATAACATTAACTGGAAGAAGCTTTGTGAAAAAGAAAACCCAGACAACAATAAAATGCAGCTCCAAGTAAATGTGTACCGTCCTTGTGCAGACAACAACCATAAACCAGATGGACAAAAAACTATATAAGCATTATACTCGAGTAGTATGCTATTTAAACATTCCGCCCATTATAAGAACCAGTGAAATAAGCAACTAAATTACTGCAATGAGATCAGAGGCCACCAATCCTTGAGAAGCATATGGAGCAAAGAACTTACCAAGTTTAGTTCCAACAAGAACTATTGGGACACCAGGGGCATAATGCTTCAACTCAGGAATCCACTGGAAATATGAAGAGCAGAAATTTTTTTTTTTAATATGGTTAAGTAAGGCGAAAAATCAGCAAAAATGCAGCAATCTTCCACTCACCTTCTTAGAGACATTTTCATAGCTGGCCTTACTAATGAGAGAAAAAGCCAAGATGAAAACATCTGCTCCACGATAACTCAGAGGTCTCAATCTATTATAATCCTCCTGTCCTGTACCACGTAAAAGTAACATAGGCGTCATATTCACAGCAATGTCATATATCTGACAGCTGAAAGCAAAATGGATATTAAACATTTGAAATACATACCAGCAGTATCCCACAGTCCTAAGTTAACAGTACTCCCATTAACAACCACATTTGCGCTGAAATTGTCAAAAACAGTTGGGACATAGTCCTGATGCCCATCATAACATGAAGAAGTACCACAAAAAAAAAATGTAAGATTTGGGGTACCATGGAAGAAATCTTTCAACAGAGTTTAACAAAATATCATCCAAATCAGACACTGATGCAAATACACGGAATGATGCATATGCCAAACTGAAATCCCAAAACACCACAGAAACTACAAGCACCTGCAGCCCAAAACTCATTGCTAGCACTTTTTCATGGCAAGACCTAACCGGACTCGAGAAAATGGCCCAAAAATCTTCTCTTTAGCACCCTAAGAGCTCGTTCTCGTCAAGTTAACGGACAAAAGATACACACTTGATGGGAATACGCAAAAGATACCCACACTTAATAGCTCGTTCTCTTTAGCAGCCTATTAGCTCAAATACATTTTCCGGAAACAGAGAGAAAACTACATACATAGAAAATGTAAATTTTCTCATTTGATAGCCCTGGCGAAAAAGCTCAAGAAAACAGATAACAAAACCGATGATCCGGGAAGCAGGATATGTAAATCTTCATAATTCAGAAAACTGCAGTATAATTTAAAGGGAAAAAAGAAGAAGAAGAAGAAGAACAAGCATGAAATAGAGAATGCAGACCGTGGGAAAGGTATTGCTGGTGTAAGAAATCAAGAGACAAGTCTTGCCGACGGCACCATCCCCAACCGTAACGCATTTAATGAACCTGGACGCACTCATTTTGTCACCCCTCAGCCGTTTTCGAACACAATCTCAACAATGTTTACTACCTCCTCCTCCTCCTCCTCCTCTTTTTTTTATTCTCAGATCTTCTCAGAAGACCTGATTATAATCATGAAAAAGAAATCCGAATTCTTGCTGTAATCTCCGTTTATCCCCTCCAATAAAGCATCTGTACGAATGCATCCGAGAAAAACAAACCCCAACGAAAAAAAAAAAACAAGTTAACCGGAAAACCCTAGCCCTAATCAGAGAGAAAATAGATGCTTAACGGAGGAATGTGGGCTGGGAGGAGAAATGAAAAGGGGTAGGGAAGGAAATTGGGGATCGAGATCTAGAAACTGACAGTAAAGAGAGAGAAAAATGGGGATGGAGAGAGAGAGGGAGAGAGAGAAAGAACAAGTGTTTGTTGTAGAGGGAGAGAAAATGTGGGTGAGGTGTTTGTGAAAATGGTTGAATGGAGAAGTAAAAAAATTACTAGTACAAAGTACCTTAATTCTTTTGTTGGCGTTGGCTTTGGCCGGGAAATAAGCCGTTGAAGCGTTCGCTGTGGACGACCAACAATCACTCACTCACTCCTCACCCGACATTATAACCAACCCAACCAACCAACCACTCATCCTCCCCCCCGCCGCTCTCTCTCTCTTTATTGGTTTGTTTTTTTTAGTAGCTACGACTTCTACTCTATATTTTCTCTCTCTCTCTCTCTCCCTCCCCGCTTTTATCCCAACCAAAGCCTCGTTTTTGAATGGCTCTTATTGGCTGTTTGCCAACGCTTTTGTTGCAAGCATAACTAAAACTACCTCTACTCTTACCTTTCGATTTTTCTTTTTTTGAGCCAAGGCACAAATTGAATATAATGGATACGTCTACACAATTAACCGTGAAGTTTTGATTCAATACCTGTCAAAAAGTGATAAAATCTCTCCTTGAATTGTAGTATAAGGGATCGCATTTTTTATATCTGTTAGCTCCTTATACAGTAAAAAAAAAAAAACCCCATACAAATATTTACACATTGGAAAAATGGCCAATTGAGTTCCTAAACTTTTTTTTACTGTCAATTTAGTCCCCACTTAATTTTTTTGGCCAATTTAATCCCTATACTTATTTATCGATTCCAATTGAGGAACATCACGGCTATTCTCTCCACCACCTATCCCCTAATATTATAATTCACCACCTCCTCCGCCACCAAACTCTTCCCCACCTCTACCACCAGTGTACGTTTACTCATCGCCGTCCCCCACTACTTGTACACTTGCCACCTCCACCGCCAGTTGTGCACTCCCCGCCTCCACCTCAATCACCTTCACCACTACATTGTATAGAACCCGTCCACCACCATCACTACCGCCTTGTATAGAACCCCCGATCACCACCCCTTGATTAAATCTCTTTGATTTGTTATGTTAATAGGTTAATGAAGTTCGGTGGGTTTTTCTTGCTATAAAAACGTGTTGGTAAATTTTCCCTTCTATTTTACTTCTTATTTTATTGCCCATCAGTGAAGTACCTGAAATACCCCTGTTTAATTGCTCAATTAGAAGTTTCATCGGAATTATAAGGTGGCGTCGCCGCGATGTTCCTCAATTGGAACCGATGAATAAGTATAGGGATTAAATTAGCCAAAAAAATTAAGTGGGAACTAAATTGACAGTAAAAAAAAGTTTAGGAACTAAATTGGCCATACTCCCTTACACATTTCTATGTGTTATATATATATATATCAGTACAACACAATGAGTATATATTTCTATATGTTATATACATCTACACAATACAATGAGAGCACCACCACAATGTATATGCGACTATCTTTTGAACTTGATTTTGTACCTTCACTATTAAGAGTATTTACTTTTTCTTTACATATACGACTAATTTCAAAGGTCATTTTGTTAAATTAATTACTCACTAGCTCTCCTATTTCTTAGCATTTTAGGGTTTGATTTTAAATTGTACTAGTAATTATACATAGATAAAATTAAATACTACGGAGTACTAAATAACTAAACACCATACCTCAAAAAAAAAAAAATGCTCACCATATCATGAATATTTTCGGCACGAAAAAACCCATTTTCACTGATAACCAAAATTCAATTACTCACACACACGCATAGAGTTTGCCTTAAACATTAATTACATTTATTTTTTGTCCTCGAACCCCGAGTAAATTGAGATTCAAGTGTTGAATTTTTTTTTTTGAAAAGTAAAGTTAAATTCATAAATTGAGAATGTAAGACTTGAAAGAGACAACAACTATGAATGTATGGACTATATATAAAATAATAATGCATGGCAAGTGCCTTAATCCTTGCTATGTTATTTGTCAAAACATCATTTATTTCCCATAGACTCATAAAGTCCAATATTTAATCCGATGACTTATATATTGCGGGAATCGCACAAAACATTTTGTGAATGATACTCCTTAGTGATTTGTGCAATGATATCTAATTTGGGTTGGTTATTAGGAAACCGATAACCAATATGAGTGTGAGGGAGGAATCAGTCAGCTAGCAAAGAATTTTCCAAAAAGTTTGGTTATTAGATAATGTTCTGATTTAGCGAGAGAAAAATAAAGATTAAGACCAGAATAAATTCTATCCTAATGTGTGGTTGTTGAGCACTGGTAAGTAGTAATCAAATGCTTAGTGGCCCTAGGTGAAATCATTAAAGTGCTTAACACGGCAAAACCTGTGTTCATCATCATCATTGCAAATTGTTCCTATTTTCATCAGACTGAAAACACATAATATTTTAGAGATGGTTGCCTTGGCAAAATCTTGAGTACAAAAGCAGGAATAATTAGAGTAAAACTTTCCACTTAAGTAACTAGACTTTTTCCTTAATCTCCTGTCGAAGTTACAATGATTGAAGTACCGATAGCAGATTCTGCAGACCTGCAAATACGGATACAGGACAGGGACGGTCATCAGAAGGACCGTTCCTGGACAGTTCACGATCAAAATTTGGCCAAAAAAAAAATGTACGATCCAAATTTTATCTTGTATTTCGATTTTAATAACATGTGTGAGACTCACAAAATTTTGTTCTAAAATTACGCTGTGTGCAAACACAATTACACCACGTGCAAACAAAGTTACATCGTGTGCAAAATGCACATAATTGCCAGGATCCGTTGCAGGTGCCCCTGATCCTGCAAATACACGAACGGATGCAGCACACATGCTTTTAAACAAAAAATAGAGGAATTGTTTAATTTGTAAAAGATCTGCCATCAGAGAATGAAGACTTAAATTTAGATGCAGGAGCAATTGGAAAAAGAAACTAATGTTGCTCAATAATCAGTACATATGATATTATTGCCAACAAATGATTCGCATTCATGAGGTTTGACGAACTACAATTTACAACAGCTTGAATTGGTAGGATAAGATCCAAGTCTTGCATGGTAAAGCTATCTAAAATACAGGAAAATTTTGTAGCATATACACGTGTTGCTACATCAATTGACATATCTTAAAAACAGCGGTTGAGGCCAGCACTGGCCGGCTTTTTCATGACTTGCAAAATGCACGTAATGTTTCATCAAGGGCCTTTCTATCATAGTCACCAGTAAAGACACAACTACCTAGAGGACCTTTCAAAAGAATGAGCCTCAGCAGCCCGTCCGCCACCTTCTTATCAACCTGCCAAATCAGGGGGAGGGAACATTGAAGCACATAAATAAGGGTGATGGTGAACAATAAGACAAGCAGTTTAAATCTCTTACCGCCATGACAGATTTGAACATCTCCACCGTCATGGTTTCTGGAGGTGCAGTGGGGAGCTTTGCCTGTTTTAAGATTCTATGAACTCGCTTTACAAGTGAATCTTCAATCCAGCCCAAGCGGTACGACATATCAACAGCCATAACCTGGAAGTTCAAAAATCAACGCCCTTTAGTAAAAATTACGTCATCAAGAATTCAATCTCCGCTCCTCCCACTGTCAGACAATATGGAGCAGTTCTCTTGGAAAATAAAGGGTCAATTACCGTGCCAGCAGCAACAGCTTCTCCATGCAGCCACTGCCCATAACCAAAACCAGTCTCTATAGCCTGTAAAAGCTGCTTTTATTAGCAAGAACAAACTACAGCAATGACCAAAAAGGCCAATAATGATGTTAACGATGATTCCAGTCAAGGAAAAGACAAATGTAATAGTTCATCTAGACCACCAATAAAGAATGTATACACAAGTTTAGTTCTTCAGAAACTTAATAAAGCACACAGTCATCTTGCTTGTAATAGACTAAATGCTCTCACAGAGAATGTCACAACTCCATGAATTCACTCTCCCTGCTTTTGGGTCAAATCAAAGGATTCATTATGAGACTAAGAAATACAGCATTACATCAAGCATATGAGACATACTTGGACTCGAACAGAACAAAAATTAAAAGATAACTAAGTGCTAAAGTGTCTTAATCAAATTCACTGTGCAAACATACGGAAAGAAGGATGATCAGAGTAAGAAAATGTAATGTGATCCTCTCTTGGGAACCTTCAACTTACATGACCAAATGTATGACCCAAGTTCAAGGTTGCCCTCAATCCACTTTCCTTTTCATCTTGAGAGACTACCTCAGCTTTGTTCTCACAAGAACGCTTAATAGCATAAGCAAAAGCACTAGGATCCCTACAAAGAAGTGGACATGTCAAAATCTATTAGAGCCACAACGACAATTTTATATTTGGAATGTAAAGCATGAGTAGAGAGGCTTTCTCTAAGTTAAAGTTTACTGGGTCACCAATCAGCTTGCAGTCATAACTCATAACCAAAAATAAAAGAACGGACACAAAAAATCATCATTAAACATAAAAAATGAATAGCATGCTGGTGGAACACATTCTCTTTGAAGGGTTCACAACTGATTTACATCTCTCGTGTCATTTTCTTTTGTGGATATCCTCCACTGAAACAACAAACTTCTTAGAGTAACAGAAGTCACTCAATAGCTATGTCTGTATCAGTAATCCTGTACCATGTCATGCCAGGAAATAGGATGTGCATCAACTGAGCAACTAGAAAGCCATCCGAAAACCATGCATTTACATCATTTCAACTAAGGGTTACATATTTTTGGATGTAAATAGAAGAGGAAGGCGGTGATGATGGTCATAATATACTAACCTTGCCAGTAATGCTGGTAAGTTCTTCTCTTGCCACTCAAAGAAATCTGCATCTCTTATAAGCCCATACTTTATGACTTCTGCAAGCCCTGATGCTAGTTCTCTATCTGGCAATGTGTTTAGTGTGTCGGTGTCTATCAGTACACATTGTGGTTGGTAAAATGCACCAATCATATTTTTACCAAGTGGATGGTTTATTCCAGTTTTACCACCAACAGAAGAATCAACCTAATAGAGAGCAATAGAAACAACATTAAGTATGGAGGCAGAACAAAGAAAAAAGGAATTCTGAGAGAATGCAAAAGAAACAAAGAATTATCAGAAATGTCATAGCTTGAGCCCACCTGCGCCATAACCGTGGTAGGAATCTGAATGAAATTCACACCACGGAGGTAAGCAGCAGCAGCATATCCACACATGTCACCTATGACTCCTCCACCAAGGGCAACAAATGTACAGCGTCTATCCATTCTTGTCTCAATTGCTTTATCAAAGACTTTCATAAGAGTTTCCTAGAAATCACAATAACAAAATGCGTTTATTTTGCTGAAACACCTAATTTTGTAGGTTCTTGCACAGAATCAGAGTGCATACCATGTTCTTGTACTTCTCACCATCCGGCAAAATAACACTCTCAACAGTAACATTCGAATTTCCATCTGTCAATGCCCTAATTGTTTTATCTAGATATAATGGCGCGATGGTGGTATTCGTTACAACCAAGACTTTCTTGCCGTGGACGTGCCTACATGAAATCAGAAAGCTTAATAATCAACCAAAGACAGAAAATACAAAGAAGAGGAGCCGGTTAATGAAGCAACTAATATCCAACATAAATTGTCATTCCAGAATGCACAAGTTATTTCCCCAAGTACTGAAACCATTATGAACACACATGACTTCCATCTAATAGCCTTCTTCAATATTGTCCAGAACGCCTAGCATCTAATTCAAGGGCTTAAAAAATGAGCAGGCAACTTTCTATCCCCTCAACATCACTCACCGAAGTTTAAGCAGGGTATTAGTGTTAGCATCTCAGTTTATTAATCCATCATGCTAGACTAAACGTATGTATAAAATCACTTCAATCTATCAAACGTTAGTCTAATAATTGGACACACAAAACCTCTAGTACGACCTCTTCGGCATTACTTGGGACATCAGGACCCAACCATGTGCTACGCAATCTTGCACGGAAATCAAACTACCAATGAATAACAAGAGAACCTCATCTTCCATAATGGAAAAGAAAATGTAAAAGCTATTTAGATCTTCTGCAAGCAACAAATGAATCTAGAGATCCCTGTCAATGCCTAAAAGTAGAAAAAAAAAAACTAAATTGCTGAATTGCATTTTCGAAACTTCAACTCCTTGCAAATAATCTTTCCATTACGAACATGGAAAAAAATGAAACTTGACTCCACAGTATAATCCAACAAAATTTTTTGCTTTGCATTTCATCTTCTTCAGGATGGAGTGTTATTGGATGACAAATAGTTGTCAGGGAATTCAGTGCAACAAAGTTGGAATCTTTAGCCCTTCCCTCTCCCTCAACACTACGCTAAACAAAAATTCGTGGATAAATCGGAGAGCTTGACCATAAATTTACAAAAAGTGTAGCAAAATTGATATCCTAATTCTCGCAGTGATAGCTCAAATAAAATAGTACTACGAGCAAAACTACTAGCATTTAAGAGTGACTAAGATCAGGTACCTTTGGAGAAGGTCAGGCTGATTAAGAAGTCCGGACCCAATATAAATCGGGTAGCTCCGATTGCCCAAATCAACTTCAACGATTGTGGGAGCTGTAGAAGTGGTTTCACTCGGAGGCTGATCCATCACCGGAGTGGCTGAACTGGCAGACACCCTCAATTTGGTTGCATTTAACTCCAGGCGAGCAGGGGAAGAAAAAGAGCGGGACTTTGGGAACCGCACGCGGAAGTCACGTATCAGGAAAGAAGTAGAAATGTTTTCGTGTTTGGTTGAGAAAGAAAGAGCGCTTTTGGTGCAGAAAGAAGAAGCCATCGGAATAAGGATGGTGGGAGGCTGAGAAAAGGGGGTCCGGAGAGTAGGTACAATGGAAGAGGACTAATAAAATGTGACGGCGTCGGCTAAGTCTAATAAGTTGAAAAAAAAAAGCTGATTTGGTGATTGCCTGCTGCTAGGCTGTGGGTGGGAGAAGAGAAACAGAGGACTTGGGAAATGGAGTTGGTAGGTGAAGGGCAAATGTGGTGAAAAGGAAAGGACATTCTTGTAGGTCCGGTGAGGGCTTTCTCTGGCACAGGATTGCCAAGGGCCTGACGGGCCAGGCCTACAATGGTCATTGGTGATTTTGGTGGTTTGCAGGTAGCCTTAAGTTTGCACTTTGCATTATTGCTCCAATTTTGCTTATGGTCTTTCATACACAGGTTACTCCTTCCCACACCTAGTGGTGGCTTCAAAGTGGTTCGAATTGTTAATATATATATATATATATATATATATATATATGGACACGCACACTCATAACATAAACTCATTGGCAAATCGTCAATATATATATGTGTATATATATATATTTATATATATATAGACATATGCACTTGTAACATAAACTCATTAGTCCTACCTAAACAATGAGGACAAAGATTCAATGCGGTTATGTTGTTAGAATGATTATGAATAGTTATATTAACAAAATATGGTTAAGTGATTAGGATAATAATCAATTTTTGTAAAAACAAAATTTAAAATTTAAAAGATGATAAAAAGTTGTTTGTATCAACTGGGGTTAATACCACTTTGTCCCCCCAAACTTTCGATGATTACTCACTTCAGTCCCTAAACTTCAAAATGGGGCATTTAAGTCCCTAAATTTATAAATACCTCCCACTTAAGGAAAATTGTTAACAAATCCTGAATACCGTTGGTGGTCGAAGTGTCCCATTTTATAAAGGTTTAGGGATTTAAGTGTTCCATTTTATAAGTTTAGTGACTTAAGTGGGAGGTATTTATAAGTTTAGGGACTTAAGTGTCCCATTTTTAAGTTTAGGGACTGAAGTGGGTAATCGTCCAAAGTTCGGGGGACAAAGTGGTATTAACCTCATTACTTTAAGTATTTTATATATTTTGTATGCGTAGATGGCACCACCGTTTGTTTAAAAATATTCTAAGTCCAAGGTGATGCCTCCTCGGCTTGTGCGATACGCTAAAACTGATTTCCCCGCCAAAAAATAAAGAAGAAAAGAAAAGAAAACCCCGGGAATTCGGCATTTCCTTCTTTCCCAAATCATGCTAGTAAAGAAGTCGAACTATATGCTAGTAAAGCAATCGTCTCCACCTGCAGTCCCCAGTTAATCCCATTTCCGATGCCAATTTTTCTTTACTTGTGAACCCATTGGAAATCTTGAATTCATTTATTGGATGCCATAAGCATTCATCATCTGTTGTCAGCAACATTTATTTTCTGCTTTCAAGTTAGGGTTTTTATCTTTCCGGTGGCTATGAAGGGTAGGGGGAAGAGAAACGCTACGATTGTAATATCATCCTCCGAAGATGATGATGACGATAAAGATTTTTCATTGAAATCGGATTTAAGTTACTCAAAACCGGCTTCAGTTCCTCCAACTAACCCCAGCAAGAGGGCAAAGAAGGCTTCCCTCTCAAAATCTGGTCCTCGGCCGCGTAAAGGGCCCTTAACTAATGATTTTGATGAAGTAATTATCGTTCTCATTGCTGCAATTTCTTTTTTTTTTTTTGCCCCTTGTGTGTCTGGTATATGTTTTTTTAACTTGTATGCTTGATTGAAGATTCTAGAGTTCCTTCTTTTGTGTTGTTTTGGGGGCCAGCCAGCACGGGAGTGCTTTGGTTTATTCTTTCCTGGTTGTTGATGAGTTCCAAGATGAAATTTTGAGCAATTTCCCTTAATAAGCTTCTTTATAAGACGTTATTTCAGTGTCACCTCAATGTTTTGGCCAGGCTGGACAGTAGCATTCCGGAAAATTTGTGTACTGATAATACTAACGGAAAACAACCATAGTTATCCCTGTGGATTATGCTGTGTTCTAACATTTTACTGGCCTTCTGTTCATGAAATTTGATACACTCCGATAATGCAGATTAGACGGTTTTGCGAGGAGTTTGATGATGGGATTAGGGGATTCAAGGTATCTACTGGTATGATTGCCACTAATAATTGCTTAATCTTTCTTAACGTGTCATCTTGGTTCACATAAAGTTAATTTAGTTACAAACTTCCTCTTTTCTGAATCTTGGTTCTTATTTTATGTGCCTGGGAGTGCTAGCCTGAACTTTGAACTTATTCCACTCCTTTATTTTGGTATTTAACTTTTGCTTACACATATCAGGGAATGGAATGAGCAGGGAGTTATGGGCTGATAAATACAAACCCTGTTCATTGGAAGAGCTTGCTGTTCACAAAAAGAAGGTATGGACAAGAATCATTTAAAAAGTGTTTTGTATGCAAGGTATCAACTCAAGTACCGAATATGCTTTGCAGTGATTCTTCCGTTTGAATGTTGCAGGTTGAGGAAGTAAAAGTTCTGTTTGAAGAAATATTGACTGCCTCCAAGGTGCCCTTGTATTTTGCTTTTGCAAATGGAAATCCTGTTGCAAAACCAAAGTGTTGATTATCATTTAATTTCTACAGAAAACAGTTTTTTGTTTCTTTTATGCTCTGCTATTACCAACAAACTTTTGGTTATCGCCACTTGTATTGCACTGTTTAGCTCAAAATGAAGAAGCACTAACCAAAATATGATTGTTCAATGTCATTTTTCTGCTATTGTTGCATCACATTCAAATCAATGAATAACCTATGCTGTCTGTGCACCGGTACTGGTAGTGCCAGCTTCCCATATCCTCATCTCACTTCACAATGCAACCCATTCCCCCCATCACCCCCCCCCAGTGGCTGCCGTGTGGATGTACTTCAATGCATTTTAACCAGTTTGTCATGTTAAAAACTAGTTGCCTTGTTGGACGCTAATTCTTCTTTTACATTGGACAGGAAACCCTCTGTAAAAATGTTCTTCTGTTCGTGGGACCAGCTGGAGTTGGGAAATCTGTATGTTCTTTGTTTCTTTCATTTATGTGTATTTATTGTGTCATAAATTAGACCCACTTTTGATCATGATTGTCAATCCCTGAGATTAATCATCTGTTTTCCCACGTCACAAGAACAATTGTAAGGTGCTTATCTTGTTACAGGCAACTGTTTATGCAATTGCTTCTCATTTTGGAGCTAGAATAAGTGAATGGAACACACCAACTCCCACAATATGGCAAGAACATTTGTACAACTCTAGTTCAGGTATTTTTACTCTAATAACATTAACCTAGATGCTTTTAGTGTGATATAACAGTACATTGTTCTGTCAGCTTGTCACATGTCTTATATAAAACACACTTTAGTTATAGTCTCCTGTCATTTACCAAGTTTTGGGCCTTGCAAATTTTAATGGTTATGACTTCAAGGGATGCATTTGAATACCTTTTCAAATGTAGTACGGGAATTGGATAATTGAGTCTGGTAATAATTTCATCCCTGATTGCATTGTATTTGTTTGTTCGTATGCCTTTTAAAGCTTTTCTTTGTGATGGAAACTTGTTGAGGTATGTTGGACACTTGGACCCTTCCAACCACACATTAGTTTTTTACTGTTGCACTATCTATGATGTGATGTATGTGACCGAAAAGGTGATTGCGAAATGTGTTTCATAAAATTTCAATTTTCTTTTTAATTAATGTCCAAATTATAGGACTTGGAATAGAGATTTCACTCATTGGCTACAATTTGCTGTTGTGCATCTCTTCCTGGGGATTGGGAATTAGTTTCTGAAGGAGTTGCTTAATCAATGACATCAGTGAAGGCAATTTTTTTTCTATTATGAACATGAGCTTTTAATATTATTTTCTTGTTCTAGTAAACAGGATGACTTTCCTTTCACTCATTTTGGACTAGGATTAAGGTACACTTCAAAATTGGAAGAGTTTGAAAGTTTTGTTGAAAGGATAAGGAAATATGGATTCATTTCTTCAACTGTGGGCCCAAGATCTCGAGTTGTACTCTTAATCGATGATCTTCCAGTGGTAAATGGAAAAGTTTCTTATGGAAGACTTCATAGGTGCCTGCATCTTCTTGTGCAATCAGTATGTGTTCCAACAGTCATATTGATGACCGATTATGTCAAAGCTGACTCCACTGACAATAGCATGCGCTACTGGGAGGATCTCCATGTATCTCTTCAGGAAGCTGGGGCTTGTAAGGTTGCCTTTTATAATCCATCTGCTATGGAATTCAGTGCTCGATTATATGTTTACCCTGATCTATCTCTATAAATACTTCAGGTGTCTTTCAACCCTATAACTGTTAATTCCCTGAAGAAAACTCTTTCAAGAATATGCAAAGAAGAAGAATGTGAATTGAGTGCTGAACAAATTGAGCTGCTAGCAAAAGCTAGTGGAGGTGACATCAGACATGCGATTACATCCTTACAGTATTTCTGCCTGAAACCACATCAACTACCTTCTTTATGTTTGTCAGATGGTTCTACCCCTTCTTTAAGAGAAAGAACAGATGGTCTGACTGATTTATACATCGAGCCTTCATTGTCATTTGGCAGAGATGACACGCTTTCTCTGTTTCATGCACTGGGGAAATTTTTGCACAACAAAAGAGAGAGTGAACCCTCCATGGTGTTGGGTAAATTAATTTTATCAGCTCTTATTACCAAACATTTGTATCTTTTCTATCATGTTAAAGTAATGTGATTCTTTACCAGTTTTGCATGATTACATAGTTGTCATCTTTATGTTGGTTATCATTTTGACTTGCATTCTATGCCTTAATTATTTTTTTTTCCTCTGAAATGTCTGCTTGAAAACTTCTTTGGAGCATAGTATGCTTTTTGCATGTTGTTGTTTCTGTTAAAAGGACAAGTTTCATGAGATTCTGAAATATTCTTCTAATGGATAATTTTCTGTCTCAGACAGATGCTCAACAAATACACTATGTAAATACTTTCTCTCTGTTTTATTGGATTTCCATGCTAATTAGCTGTTAATTTATGAGTAATACCTTTCTTTGAGGCGCTTATGGGTTGCTACAAACACTTCATTCCAGGTTCTTCTATTGCTGTTGCATGGGAAAGACTGCATGAAGGAATCTCTATTTCTTTGTTGAATTGAATTGAAATTGTAACCTCTGATATGACTCATTTCTTATTTTTTCTAGATAGAGATACGACTAATTTGAAGGAGAAATTTGTAAGGTTGCCTCTGAAAATGGATTCTCCAGAATCTATCCTTCGTCAAGCACATAGCCAAAGTCGTCCAATTGCTGATTTTCTACATGAAAATGGTAACATTGATATGTAGCAGGATTTTTTTTTTTTTTTTTCATGAAATAGATGTTTTACTAGAATCTACGATTATCATCTCTATAAAAACGTGCAAAATATTTGAGGACATTCAGTTATTGGAACTTCTTCTGTTTGCTAGAAAAAGTCTGATTGTGCATAATTGGGCCTCCATGTTTGTCTATTTTCTTGCAGTTCTAGATTTTGTAAATGACGAGGCTATAGATGATGCCTGGGTTGTGGCATCATATCTGTGTGATTCAGACGTGTTGCTAGCTTCAGTCAATGGAAGGATGGCTAGAAACTTTGAGGCTGAGAATGTTGTTCGGTCAGCTGCTGCTTCAGTTGCTGTGCGAGGCGTGCTGTTTGGGAATTCCCATCTGGCTCCCACTAGGTATCGTGTCTAACAAGATTGCTTTTCCTTTGTGACTATTATCATTTCTCGAACTCTCATATAATTCATTAACGTGCTATTTCCTAGAACTCTCATATGTTTCATTAACCATATAGGTGGCATGCTATTCGCCGTCCAAAGCTTTGGCAGGTCGAGCAATCTTTGTGGCACTATAAGGTTAGACAAATGCAGGGACACGTGTCTATGCAGGTGTTTTTATCGTGAACATCGTAAGGCTGTATATCTTGCCTAATTTGTTATTGCATCCGAGCTCCAATAATTTATCTCCAAAGCTGAAATTTAATAGTTTAAATCACTTCATAACTCGGAGTCTTGTTGATTCTTGAAAGAGAAGAATTGCTTTGCAAATTGCAAGAGGTTGTTGCTTCTCGAGAAAACCTTTTTGGTTCGAATTGTACTACATAGTTATCTGTGGTCACTTGTTCTTTGCCCACAAAGCTTTACTGGGAGTAGGATCTTTTTTTTTTTTTGTTTTGTTGTGTTGGGGGGTGGGGGTGATAGCAGCAGATGTCCATCAAGTGTAAGCTCAATTCGTATACTAATGTGGGTTTTCTTTATCATGTGTCTAAATTGTCCTTTTGGAGTAAATGTGCGATCCAATGATTGTCAATTCTTACCCTTTACTTCAATTTGTCTGTGTACTTGGTGAGCTTCTGCCCATTTTGTCACTTTTCACCTCCTAATAGTAATGCATCTGCGCGCCCTTTGATGTGTTTGCAGTGTCAAATGGTAAGCCAGCAACGTGATGCTAATAATGGGTTAAACTTGTATGATCTGTCAGTTGTTGCTACGGAGATTAAACCTACCCTTAAGCGGATAGGAAATAGAGGAGCATCTGAAGATTTTGAAGCTCATGAAGCATCCCCAGAACACATGGCTGATGACTTGGATGGACTTATTTTGGATGATGATAAAAGTGAGATGACAAGTGAGGATGAAATAGAAGATTGGTAAACTTTGTCAAGCAACCGGTGAATCTCTCCGCCTCAACACGGCGTTCTTTTTGTAAATTATGTAAATTCTAGTATCAAGATGTAATAGTTTCATTGTGAAGCCTTGTTTTGTCCGGCAATTCAGGGGGGTCATCATTTTGTGCATTCTTTAGCTCACCCAGATTTTGGTCATATGTAGCTGAAAAAATTGCTACATGGTTTGTAATTGTAGAGGCAACCTTCGACTACGCTGAATTATGCGTCCTGTTACCTATTTTCTTCATCCTGGAAACAGCAATTTTTGCTCAAAAAACACATTTTGATTATTTCCTCTAGTAGGTCACGCAAAGAAGATTTTTTTTTATTAAGTTTTTTTCAAAAACAAAAAAAAAAACCTCCCCCCCCCCCCCCCTTTCCCCTTAATTCCTCCATTCCGTCAAACCTAGTAGACAGGTGATGAAGCACTTGGTTAATGGTTTGGATACTTTCATTTTTTTAAATAATATTTTATTTGTATTATAAACATATTTTTTTATTCCACGTTATAAAAATTATTATAATAATTATTTCAAATAATGTTTTATCCAAACAAATCCAAATTTAGTGTCTTCTTATGCTACTGTTTCAATCACAAGACCTGTAGAATTTCAGGAATTGAGTTGATTTTTTTCTCACATAAATTATTTTCAAATTAGGTTCTCTTTTGTTTACATAATATTTTTCTTATCCTTTTGAAAACTCAAAATATATGGAATTTATAATTACATTATTCTCTCCGTACAAACTTAGCTGGCTGTATCGGAAGACACTTGTACTGGTGTCGGGCATCTCTTATTCTCTGCCTTCAGGCTTCAGTTCGTCCATCGGCGGCGCCACCGCTACTCTCGCCCTCCTACACCATCATCAACGAGCAAACATATTGAATTGATCAACCCCTCCAAGTCTCCATCAAGACCTTTTTTTTTCCGCTGGGTATGCTTCGCCATTATTCTCCAATTATAAAATAAGGGCACGGTGGCCGGATTAAGCTGTCCTCCAATCGGCCCTTTTTTTTTTTCATCCTTTTATTTTCCTTTTCTTTTTGCCTTGTTATTTTGCGCAATTTGGAGTTGGTTATAGTTGATCATTAGGATAGAAGAAACTTATTCTTACCAGAAACCAAGAAAATTTGGAGTAACTGAAATAGAAGTACTAATATAACATACCATTTTGTTGATATTATTGTTGTAATATACAATTTGATTAGTGGTTAAGTGTTGCTAGCAGAAAATGCATGATGCTGCTTGTTGGATGTTCCTTAATAGCATCAAATTTTGATGCTTCTTTGCCTTGACTTCCACATCTATTTGATTAAAATGCTGCTTCTTCTTGACATGCTTAACAAATTTCACGTACTTCAAAAGCAAGGCCTGCAAAGTCGTGGTGTTTAAGCGCTTCTGAACTTGTGTGTGATCCTGTGATAGTAAATTGGTGTTCAAAGAACTTTATAAAGGTTGGCTATCTTTTAATAATGCCTTCGCAAGCTTTTTTGAGTTAAATTCCAAAAATGAAAGGAAAACAGACCAGACAAATGAAAGAAATAGAGCTTCAGCAGTTAGCCTTTTCTTTTTCTGGATTTTTTTCCCCATATCATGTGTTGTAGTTTGTCCTTTTGAAGCATTATTAGGTATATGCTGAACTGTCACTTGACGGCATGGTGTTGATCTGGCAGATGGCAAGCCGGTCTACTCGTTCAAGGAGACTACCTCCTGTACAGCAGTCAGAATCACCCTCAAGGGCTAAGTGGACATCAGCGCTGACCAGAATATTAGTGGACTTGCTGGTAGAGCAGGTTCGCCAAGGGAATAAACGCAATAAATCTTTTGACAAGAAAGCATGGGAGTGTGTCTGTGAGGATTTCCGTGAAAAAACAGGCCTTGCGTGGGACAATGAGCAATTGAAAAGCCGTTATGCTGCCTTAAGAAAGCAATATGTAATTGTGAAGTCCCTGCTTGATCACGGTGATTTTAAGTGGGATCCAGCCACTGGTGTTGTCATGGCTACTGATGAAGTATGGGATGCATATATCAAGGTCTGCAATTCCTGTTTCTATTGTCGTGACTAATTAGACAAGTTATGACCTGTTTTAGCTTGGGAAGTTCATTCCTTGATGTCTAAACAGGAATCTGATTCATTTATCAAAAGCAGTTTGAATTCTTTAATTAGTTATTAACCACCTATCACTTATCATATACATTTAACAGGAACATCCTGATTCTGAACCTGTAAGGAGTAGTGGATGTCCAATGTACAAGCAACTGTGCACGATTTTCTCATTACCTGGGACAAGGGGGAAATATAATAGGTCAAATGGATCCTATGAGCACGGAGGAACTCTGTCGACTTCGGATCCACAAGCTTTGAATGTGTACCAGGAAGACGTATCTAACTCAGAATCTGAGCAAGGCTCTGAAACAGCTGATGATCCCGAGAATCTTCAATCAACTGTGGGTTCTAGAGTTATTGGGCAGAAAAGGGGGCGTAAAGGTATTGATGGGGTCATTGCGGGAGCCATAATGGAGATGGCTGCTGCTTCAAAACTCAGGGCTGCGGCTCTTAAGAAATTTAATGACAGGTATTCAATAACAGATTGTGTGAGAGCATTGGATGATCTGCAAGGCGTAAGTGACCAAATTTATTATGCTGCATTGGACCTCTTCAACAACCGCATTGCAAGGGAGACATTTTTATCTCTCAAAGTTGACAAGCGGTTGACGTGGTTGTCTGCCAAATGCTTAGGCCCAACTAATCCACAGGCTGCATGATGGAGCGATTGTTTTAGTAAGTACCTTGTTGTTCTCCCTTTTGGAGAGTAGAAGAGGAACAGAACTTGTACACTTCTAGGATGCTGTCTTTTTGTCCCGCAGTAATTGTTTTTCTAGATCGTTGGTCTCTCTCCTTCTCTATGATATCTTCCGTCTTATAGATGAAAGGATCAATAGAGAATGGAGTAAACTTCTGAGAGTGTCATCTGTGTTGCATATATGTTGGAATGTTAGGTCTTTTGCTGGCTTTTCCATAGATGGTTTATACTTGGCACCCTTTATGATGTGTTCAATTCGTTCACTTAGTAATCTGCCTCCACCAATATTGGGGAGATTCTCTAGTGCAAAATTTTTGCTCCAAATTTGCCTCCACACTCAAACCACCAGGGAAATAATGGACATAAACTAGGAACCAAAAAAGGGAGAGAAAGGACAGGAAAAGAATGATGAGTAGCTGACAGACGTAAAGAAACCTGATGCAGCTGCGCAAAATTGGATAAAGATCCTACAGAGTGAACAAACAGAAAGAATTTATATGGACGCTAATACTTGTTTAAACAAACAACTCTAATACCTAAACCAAAATTTAAACAGACTTAGGATCCTCTACTGCTGAACGTTTTCCACCGTTCTGTCAGAAGTATGCATTTAATCACAAGTAATATCTTGCTACCTCCATAAGGAAGATGCCTTGCATGACAGAGACCTTTCTTATGGTTTACAGTCATCAGCTCAGTACCAAAGGGAACTGTATTTCACTGAACTACGAGGATATAATCTTGTCAATATTCTGCATCTGAATTGACCCTTTTTCTTCAGTCAAAACAAAGTATACACAGGCAAAACTAAGTACACACTTTCTCTGGCCAACCATATAGGAGTTGAGCAGCCTATTCTCTCAAGGCAAAAGTCGTTTCACATCATGCATCTGCATCTGCATCTCATCAGTACTTTTAGCCTGGTTATAGACAGACTCAAATGCATGTGTGCAGACATTGGCAAAACCGGTCACTGACTGAAAGACATGCGGCAACCCCATTTGCAGGTTATTCAGTGTCATTGCCCTCGTTACACTAACTGACTTCTCATACTTGGCCTTCTCATCCTCCGCTCTTGCTCTCAAATTCTCCACTTTTGCTCGCTTCTCCCCTACTGGATCCTTGCTTCTGGTACTGCTGTAGTTGTCAGCCATAGAATACGGACCATACTTAGACTCAAGTGATCTTAGCTCAATTGCCTTCTTCTCAAGCTCTTTAAATGCTGATTCTGACTTCTTCTTCTGTTTTTGTTCTTCTGTTTGCTGTACAACAACAGCACGGATCACTGTTAAGAAGCTCTTGACTCCTTCAGATGCTACTTTGTCTGGAGCATTGTTGACGGTATGCTGCCACTCTTCACAAAAGGAGTAAATTGCAGAATCCAGTCCGGTTCTGACTGCTGGTTTGTTGCCGAGTTGGAACAAGCTAAGCCTGAGCCAGCCAGTTAGGGACTGAATGTAATCCCTTTGGGCCTTAACAAGGTTGCAGAAGGAGATGTGCCACTGTTGTGCTTCAAGCTCAAGTTGGAGAGTTGATTGCCGGTGAATTTCAGAGGTTGGGTTTGTAGATGGAATGGCGTTGACATACTTCAGCTGCTGAACTATGTGAGTTTGTACTTGGTGACACTCATACATGCTTCTCCACATGCCCATCAATCTGTAAACCAGGAAAAGTGAAGTACGTCAGTAATTTGTGAGGCTGCACACATAAGATTCCATTGATTCGAATACCCAGTTTGCAATTAACTTCCAACATAACTTCTCATTCATTTATGGTGAACTCGTCTAAGCCAAGGATTAGGAAATATGCATAACCAATGAATTGCAGGGAAAAAGAGTTAATAATAAAAAAAGCCAGGTTTACAAGATTTGGGAAGAATTAGGCAAATTCTTATAACAAGAGGAATAGCCTTTGCATGGCAAAGTCAAGCTAGGCAGGAGACTGGATGAAACTCGTGGAAAAGAATAGAAGATAATTCATTCCAAGAAAAGATGCAAAATTGACAATTTTGACCTCATTCAGTGGCTACTCTGAATGTTTGACACAACGGCATAAAATGAAGATGCATTTAGTGGTCTTGTAGTCCTTGCAGATTCTCATTTCCAGACCTTGACTGGCTGGCGACTATGCTTAACTCATATAAACAGATTGACATCCAATCTTCTTAGCTTCTTTTTTTACTCCAAAGTCATCAACATCTCCAGCCTGTTGGTGCTGCTTCATCCTACCCAGATGATGAAGATTTGTGAGGCTTGTCGTTGGTGAATGCAAGAGGATAATGATTCTGGCAAAGCATCTAGATAAATGAAATAGGGACGTAGTTTACTTATTAGGGCTTCTTGGACTGTTGGACATGTACCCTACATTGTCATTATACAAACGTACTTTTATACTGCGTTGTGTGATATGTGATTGTCAAGTATCCGAGGAAAAGGCATAAAAAAGACAGGGACCAATCACTAAAAGCAGTCAAATAACCTCAAAAAAGTGAAAGTAACATGCACGGATAGAATTCAATTGGATACGGATGAAGTTTTAATAATAATAATAATAATAATCATGTCACGACACAATGTACTAATTCAACTTGACCTTTGACCTCCGACCTCTCTCTCTTAGTCTTCCAAGTGGTCAAAGAGACCTTAAAAGGTACTGTACTGAAACTCACTCCTATGTCCTATGCAGGAAGGAGTTGCAGGAGAACTAACTAACGCTCCATAAGTCCATTCCCACCACCAAATTTAACTTATTTTTTAAGTTACAATCCACACGTAGGAAAAAGCTAGCTTTAAACAGAAAGTAGAGAAGACGAATAACAAAAAATGTTGAGGGAGGGAGGGAGGGAGAGGACTAACCCTTTTACAAGATCAACGAGCTGCGGATAGAGTTCTGACTCCCGCAACTTAATTATTTCAGCAGACGTGGTTTCGATTGCCTGTGAAGCAACCATCATCCTTGATTCCAATTTCTCCACTTCTTTCTTGGCTCTCTCAGTCTTCACATAATCAGCCCTCTTCACCTCTAGCTTCCGCAGCTGGGCTGCCTTTCTCTCATGTTCTAACTTCAAACTCTCAGCATTCTATGATCATCCAAAAGCAATCCCAAGAACCCAACCAGAAACCCAAAAAATAAAGAAAAAAAAAAAGAGTAAATTAACGACCTGTGGGTCCTAAATGAAAAAATTGCACAATACATGCAGGGTCCAGTGCTCCCACATCAATACATGCACAATAAACGGAAGCAAAGTCTGAAATTTTGGTGATGGTAGTAGGTACCTTGACCTCCTGGTACAATTTCTTCTCCCAAGCGTACAACCTCTCCACAGTTGAGCAATGACTAGTAGCTGTGGTGGAAACACCTACACCACCACCAACATCCACATTCCCAATCGAGTCCTCAATGCATCTCCCAAATCCGCCATTCCATTTCGGACTCGAATTCCACGTCCACAACAATGGATTCAGATTCCTCCCACTCCCATAAACTCTACCTGCATCCCATTTTCGCAACAACATTATAATCTTGCACTCCAATTTTCACAATTAATTAAAAGTAACTAGAAGCCCAAATGGAATTTTGCTTCAATTTGCCGCATACAGTCAACACTCAACTCATAAATTGCTTATAGTTGCAAATAAAGCCACAAAATACAAAATATCAGGATGGACAAGATATGGGCTATTCACAAGAACATTTCCTCTTCTCTCTCTCTTTTTTTTTTTTTTCCTCCTTAAATTACAAATAATCCGACAAGATATGGATGGCTTCATCATGCATCTGAATCTGGCGTTAAGATTACCTGAGGATCTTAGGTCGGAAAAGGTACAAGTGGGGACTTCCAAGAGCAATGAGAGCGGCCCGCCGGCATTAGCTGCTTTCAGAAAATACTCATCAAGTTCTTTGATGATCTCAACCAGGTCTTTCCCCTTGGTGGAGACCACCATAGCCAACTCACTTGTAATCGACGTGGCGGCAGTGTCCTTCGAAAACCCGCTGATGACAGACGGTGGGGCCGCCACGCTGGCTGCCCCAACCGTTGTGGTCGCGGCAACCTCAGAAGCAACGGTCGTCTCCTCCCACTCCTCCTCCGTCCCTGACCTGGACGACGAAGGCATGAAAGGGTCCCAGAAATCCCAGGTGGAGGAAGCCGGTGCCGGAGGCGGAGGAGGAGGAGGGGGAGGGGGTGGTAGGAGGGCGGAAGAGGTGGTGTGTGTGGTGGTGGTGGTGGAGGTTGTCCACCTGTCAGAAACAGGACTCATTGGGACCGGCGGAGGTGGTGGGGTGGCTGGGAGTTGAGGCAGCCGCAAAGGCGGCTGCAGTGGCGGCGGAAGGTGGTGGTTTTGGCAGTGAAGGTTTGTCTCATTGGTTGCAAATTGGAGCAGAGCTGAGCCAGTGTTTCTGAGAGACCTTAGATACATGCTGTGAGCAGCTGAGAAAGCTTGCCTTGCTTTAACCAACTGTTTCATGTACCTCTTTCTTGCCTTGCATCTTGAAACCATTTCCTCTTGCTTTATCCTTGAGTAACAGCACCCCATCTCTTGATTTCTCCGAAACTCACACCCTCATGCAACGAAAACACACACAACACGCACTAGCGTTCCTCTTTCTGATCCTGCCAAGCTTTACGCTCTTCTAAGATTTCATCTCAAAGATGCAGACAGGAAAGAAACAAAAGACAAAACCACAAATCTTTCTGCTTTTGTGTATGCTAGTACTCTGAACAAAGAAGCACGCCTTTGGGTACTGAAATTTGCACCATAAACATAGGACTGGCTTTTTGACTATAGAAACATTGGGCAAAAACCACCCCTTCAATTTCCAGCTTGACTATAAAAAGGAAAGATAAAAACTTCACCAGTCACCAACACTTTTTCAGTTTCCATTGCATTTCCAAATGGCATCACACTTTCTGCATCATCAGCTTCAAAATCTTTCCTTTCTTTCTTTTATTGTTGTTCTCTTGGCTCCTCTCTCATTCTTGAATGGATGGACGGTGGTTGTGGGGTGAATCAAAAGTGAAAACACAAAACGCTAGAGAGTAAGAACAGTAGTTTTGGGAAGTAAGGATGGAGGGGAGGGCAATGAGGTCATTGGGCAGAGTGCCATGACGTTTTATAATCGCTTGTTCGAGACCAAAATGCCCAGCTGCTGTGTCCGTTATTTACGACAAACCCTTCTTCTCTGATTCATGTGCAGGGCTTCACGTCTTCTACCAAGCGACTGGGAACATTTGAACTGGATTCAAGATACGGGCATGCTCTGCTGGCCTGGGATGTTGGGAGGGTACTTTTTGTGACTAGAGTTTTGCAAACGGACATGATGACCAGTTTAATGTGGTAAAAACGTTTCACATTAAGCTCAATATGATTGATGCTTACGGATGTACTTTATATCGATCCAATTAGATTAAAAAAATACTTTGACATAATTCTTAAATTTTTTACGTCCAATAAAAGATTTAAATCGCTCCTGCTGGCCACTGAACCATTGGCCCAGTGGTTACTTTACATATGTACTTACCAAACCAAGATTACGTACCCCGTACGTGGATGCTGGCAAGGCATCAGTTACTACTTCCAATCCTGTGTATATTTTGTTTGTTTATTGGAAGTAGATTTGCAAATTTAATATACTATTACGATACTCAAAAAATCTTGAATGTCCGAATTCCAAGGCGCCTACTACACTTTGATGTTCAATTCTTTTGGCTACGGAATAAAGAAGAAAAATGAACGGAAAAATATGAAAACAGAAGTTATTGTAGGAATACGAACCCTATATTTGCATGCATGCCGATTTACCCCCCAAAAATCGATTAAATACAAAAGATTATAAAGAGATTCTCTTCTGGAGTGGCCAATAATGAGGGCACTGGGAGATGATGTGATCATTATAACATTCAAATCCCTCTCTGAATTGTAAATAAGGTATTTAATTGCATTGTATGCTAAACAAGTTTAGAGAGAGCGTAGTGTATTTTCTAGATTAGGCGGTCATTTTCCTATAATTTTTTAGTATACTTATTTGGTCTAACGGGTCCTTTTCCTCAAATGTTCTTATATAGTATTGAATAGTGTAGGATTGCTATTTGATTGAAAAAAAAAATACAAAAGACTTAGTGAAAGAAGGATTAGCGCTGGTTTACCCAAGGGAAGTGGCAATGGCATCACTTTTAAATGTATGGTACTACACTTTTTTTTTTTTGAGTAAATTTTATATACACTGAAATTATATACACTATCACCGTTTGATTCATGACATGTGTGCAAAAATTGAATTTCAAATAAGGGGTGAAATTTAAGAAGTGAGAGAAGAAAGAGGGACTTAAATCCAAAATTTATAAATTTTGAGGACTCGACTGTAATTTAATAGTACAATACCACAGTTGTATACATGAGGTAATGCGGTGGCTAATTTTTGTCATTTGCCGGTAATTAATTAGGAATTAGAAGGGGGAATCAATTAATTGAGGGTGATTATTAAATTGGTTAACTTTCCTAGGGAGCCGTGACATTGGAATCGTGCTGACACAGAGAATTTCAATTTACAGACAGGTCCAGACTCCACTACTCCCACTATTACAGATATCTAATATCCTGACAAATTTACCCCTTTCTTTTATTACTCCCTCCGTCTCGTTTTATTAGTCTTGATTTTTTTTTTCACACAGATTAAGAAAGTGTAATTAATTTGGTTGGAAACATAAATTTAGATTAATAATTTCCTAAAATACCCTTACGCTAATCACGAAGAGTGCCAATTAATATCAGTTACAGCTAATGGGTTAGTATTGAAAAAGCTCAATGTATTCAATGTAGTGGGTTAGTATTTAATAACAATGTATTAATAACAAGATATTTAATAAGGGTATTTTAGATAATTTGAAAGATTACTACATTTCTTAATGGGAAAGTGGACTATAATTTGGGACAGACGAAAAAGGAAAACAAGATTATGAAAGTGGGACGGAGTGAGTATTATTTTTTTAAAAGATTCATTACAAAAAAATTGGTTCCGTGTCCTTTTTTTTATTATTATTTTTTTATCCTCTTCAACTCTTATTGACGGATTTCCAATAACTCAAGTGACTGACTGATAGTTTTAGTTAATGACGATGAATTTCATTAATGCTGAATCGGTGATGGTAATAAGAAGACCAAAAACCCAATCCCTGAAATGAGTGAGATTATGGGCCGTTAGTGGACATTTATATAAACAAACGACAAACAGCCTGCAAGGCAAAAAGTCATCTCGACGCACAGCCCACAGGAAAAACCCGGAGCCCAAGGAATAATGGATAAGCAGACGAGGCCCACTCACAGTGCTCGACAGTCGACACACAGCTCACGTCCACGGCAATACCCAATTATATTACTCCGTTGTGATCCTGGCGCTTATCTTCTACGCGCTTTAAAAGTTCGCGTCGAGTAAAAAGTAAAAACAAACACAATTGCTTCGAAACTATAACCTCATCACTCACCAGCTTATCATTTCCCTCCATAACAAATTAACGACCAACGAACCAACCAAGCAAGTATTCTTTACTTTGTCTTCTTCTCTTCTTCTGTAGGACTAAGATCCATTTCTTCTTCCTTCTGCGCACTCATTCTCTTCTCTAAGAGCTTATATTTGGAGAATCGATTGGAGAAATTTAGTTACCTTTGAACTGCTAAAGAAATTGGACGATAATGGCGGCACCGGTGGTGGATGCAGAGTACAGGAAGGAAATAGAGAGGGCTTGCAGAAACCTTAGAGCTCTCATTTCCTCCAAGAACTGCGCCCCTATCATGCTCCGCTTAGCGTATCTCTCTCTATTTCTTTCTTCTTTCATCTCTCCTTTTTCTCTTTTCTTTTCTGGGGTCTGTTTCCTTAGTTGCATTTGCATGTTTACGAACAGGAACCATTTGATTTTTGTTGTATAAATAAAGCTTGTCGGTTGTGAGCTCAATTGAAAACCTGAGGGTGGATACATGTATATATTTCTTTGTAGGTGGCATGACGCGGGGACTTATGATGCTAAAACAAAGACAGGAGGGCCTAATGGATCAATCAGGAACGAGGTAGAATTGAAGCATGCTGCCAATAACGGCTTGAAAATTGCAGTCGACCTATGTGGTCAGTCCATCCTTCCCCTTATGATTTCAAAAACTAAAGTACATGTAACGCAGAGATTTGTATACCTCCTGAGATTTTTTAGAGCAGTTCTGCTGGTGATTAGGCATTTATGACATGATGGTTTTAGATTGTTTCTTCAGTTTCGAGTAGCTAGTGAGCTATGCTCTGAATCTGATAGTTTTGTGCGGAGAAAAAGATTGCGATCAAGATTATTAAGTTTATTTCATATAGTATCTAGTTTTTCGAATCACATACAGTGTCTACTTCATACGCTGAATATGACTTTCTTGTTCACTGAATTAATGGATTCTTTTTTTTTTTTTTCCTCTTCTTCGCGAGCAGAGGAGATAAAAGCTAAACATCCAAAAATTACATATGCTGACCTCTATCAGGTAATTTTAGTTGCCTGTTCTAGTTTCTGTTAGTAGCTGCTGGTTTATGTTGCCTTTCTGCTTAATTTGGTGAACCTGCTTTGCTTCATTCATGTAATGACCATAGAAATGGAGAATTCTATGAGTTAGTGTGGCAAGGACATATAAGCTTTTAGTATGGCAAGGACATATTAGCTTTATGAATATTTCCTTCTATTGCATTTCCAATTCTTCTGCAAGGTTCAAACTGGAGCCTTAATCTGTTTTTCCTTTCTTTGATATCTTGAGTTTTCAGCTGGCTGGTGTTGTAGCAGTTGAGGTAACTGGAGGCCCTACCATTGATTTTGTCCCAGGTAGAAAGGTATGCTATGGAGGAAGTTATAAACATCCAACTCGAATTTTCTTTGTGCTATCTTTAACTGAAGAGAAAGACAATGTGCTTCAGTAACTTGTTACTTTTCCATCAGGACTCTGTGGTTTGTCCGGAAGAAGGCCGCCTTCCTGATGCTAAGGAAGGTTAGCCATGTCACAAAAATTTACATTGGGTTGTTATACTGTTTTCTTGTTTATTTAGTGTATGCTCAAAGTGTAATTTTGCCTTTTATATCAATTTAATAGATATGCTTGCTAATTAACTGAATGAATATGCTGGCTAATATTCTTCTTTGAATGCAACTAACAAGATGACCTTGCAAATTGCAACATTTAGTGACCTACAATGAAGAGCTTGAAGGCCATTTATGTTTACTAAAGAACGATTGCACTCAGTTAAACACGATTTTAGAAGCTAGTTATATTTCTCTAATCCGCGCCTTCCTCCCTTCTCCCCCACATCAGGTGTATCACATTTAAGAGATGTCTTCTACAGGATGGGTCTTTCTGATCAGGATATTGTGGCACTCTCTGGGGGCCACACATTGGTAATTTTTACCCACATATACAGCATTTGATTTTTTGTATAGTTTACCAAAGTAAAGAGCTTACATAAACTCTCCAAGTTTATCCAGGGTAGGGCTCATCTAGAGCGATCTGGTTTTGATGGACCTTGGACATATGAACCTCTGAAATTTGACAACTCATATTTCTTGTAAGATTAGACAGAGAGTTAGCATCTTTTTGGATTGCTATCTATGGAATAATATGATCTTTTAATGTTTGTAAACATTGTGATATGACAGCGAGCTTCTGAAAGGCGATTCAGAAGGCCTCTTGAAACTTCCCACAGATAAAGCTCTGGTAGAGGACCCTGAATTTCGTCGATTTGTGGAGATTTATGCAAAGGTAGAGCAGCTTATTCTTCACAACTTTTAAATTGTTAACTTGGTTCTTCTCCACTAATCTTTGACTTAACTCTAAAGTTGATATTAACATGAATCAGAAACAAAGCGGATCATACCTGTCAAAAGATGTGCTTGTAAACTTGTCTGATATTTTGTGTGGTTGATACGTGTCAGTTAGATAATCTGCAAATACGTATAATTTTAGAGACTGAGGGACTGATGTGCATTCGCCAGCAAATTCTTCTGGGATTGGGAAAGTAGGGGTGGTCTTACCATAGACTCTTCCTAGTATAAGCAGCAGTAAAAGCCCTGGAAAAGGTTGAGATGATGGAGGTGGGAGGTACATTTTGGTACTAAAATTGAAAGAACAAGCGTGCTTGTGAATTTGACAAAAAAAAAAAAGAAATTAAAAATCTGCTTTTGGAAAATGGATAACTACTGATTTTGGAAAAAAAAATTTTTTTTTTTGACATTCTCTATTGTAAACAATGGTCATACAGGTCAGAAAATTGTTCATAAAAATCATATGAGATGGATTACTTCTCTCCACGGAAAATTGCTACACAAAACGAATTGAAGAACAAAAGGGAAAGGACAGAAAAACCACACCCTCTTTTGTTATATTACTTTATGCACCCTTACTCAATGAAGCCAATTTGTGATGATCAGTATTTGTTTTTGCTTTGGCTCTGGCAGGATCAGGAGGCATTCTTCAGAGATTATGCAGCCTCACATAAGAAACTTTCAGAGCTTGGATTCAACCCACCTTCCTCTCGTTTCAAATTAGCCCAAACTGCATTTGGAGTAGCTGTTGCTGCAACTGTAATCATCTTGAGTTACTTCTACGAAATTAACAGAAGAGCCAAGTAAACAAGATTTCTGAATTATTTACGTTCAATTGAATTATGTCATAGCAACTATATCTTGTCATAGTTGTGATTCACATGAAGATCAAATAATGCACTTGTCCTCTCATGCTATGGGGGCAAACATTTAGACCAATATCCTTTTAAGGATTTTCCTTTGTAATGTAATCTTTATGTTGCCATTCCGCACCAATGGGTTGTATAGCTTGCTCTTAGAAGAACAAAAAATAAGGGAAAAAAAAAGAAGAAGTAAAAGGTGGTATATAAACTTGAATCAGAAGTAACATCATGGAAGTAAGCATGAAAGGAAGAATTTTATTGGGAAAGTGAGGTCAAAATAATTGTTACATCAAGCCACAAGGCAAAGTTTAATAAATAGGACTGTTAGAACCTCGATATTAATTTAACCTATTTTAGAACCAAGTAGAACCAAGTAAGACATACTCTCTTATTATTGAGAAATATGATATGAGTTGAGGAGAAAAAGTTCATCTCCAAGCTAAGACTTGATAAAACCTAAAATAAAATTATTCAATTAGCTGCTGCTGTATGGCTAATATGTTAGTTAAGCCCTTGGACTCAAAGACAGCGTGATGTCCTGAAAGACCTTCAACCTTTTATCAACCTTTTGCTGAGATACTCCAGCATCATTCCTGGATTCCAAAAATTTCCCAGACTCATGGCCTGAACCTAATACCGCGGCTAGTATTGCCTCTTCAAAGTCCTTGCTATCTGGTAGCAAATCTGCCAGCCTATCGGGATCTTTCTCTGGCGAAATTGATTGCTTTCGGACCTTTTGTTCTGGCTCTAGGGATGATATCATCATCAACTCTCCCATTGTCTTTGCTCTAGCCGAGTTAGCAGCATTTCCAGATCTTGTTCTCTTGAGGGTTTCTGGAAACTGAGTACCGATTGGATCCTTGGAAGATTTTGAAAAATAAAATGGCGGTGCATCAATGTTGAGTGAATTCCCATAAACGGCACTTGATTTGACATTTTTCTGTACAGGAGGAACCATTTGGTTCTGTATTAGGTTAGAACTGATATTCTCATCAGCATATTCGTCCCGGTGGTGATTAGAAGAATCTGCAGTCGACACATTGCTCTGCTCTTTACAAGGCTGAGGCTGCCAGACTGCTGAGGAACCCAGGAATGCATCAAACAACTTGCTCTGTTCTACCCTATCTCCACCTTTATTCATCATCTCAGACTCAAGATCCCGGAGCATTTGCTGAGCTCTCTCATAAGCCTTAAGATGTGAATCGATGCCTCTAGGGCCATCAGCCACTGCTGGTTTGACTCTCCTGAGATTCTCTTTGGCCTCAGCTATTCTCCCTTGTTTCATTAAACAGATGCCCAAATTGCACATCTTATTATTGTCCGCTGCAATCAATAATGCCCTCCGGTAAGCATCTTCAGCTTCAATATAGTTGTGTTGCTGCATTAATGCCCATCCCAGGTTCCCCTGAAACATACAAAGTTTTGTCCATTTGCATGAACATTCTGATTTCAGTACAAGCAAGAAGCAAATTAGGATGCAATTGAAGTTCGGCACTGGATCAATACCAGTAATCGGGTGGCTTCTTGCTCAACAGACACCTGAAATTTCTTCCCTTGAGATCTTGCTGTCTTTGTGCGCTTCCCGTTAAAGGCCATTCCTTGTTGAATTAAGTATAACTTATGCCTTAACAATCCTATCTGGTCATCCAATCTCCCACATCTCTGGAAGATCATATATTTGATTATAATGCTAACTTTGATAACTGTAATTAACTTTCTAAATGGAAATAATTGACAGTAAAAGGAAGTATTATGCCTTGTAGAGGTCTAACAAGATGTTGTCGAGAGCCTCTTGAGCTTGATCAGAACACCGACTTCTTAGTGACTTAATAGCTTCAATAGCTTCTTCTGCCCTATTCTGCTGCTTCATTACAATTGCCATATCTTTCAAAGCACTATCTACTCTATCTCCAGCATTAATGGCTGCCCAAAATAATGGTATGGCTTTTTCTGGATCCTTATCCACTAACTGAGCAATATAAAAACACAAATGCAGACAACATCAGTAAAATCCAGAAAGTGCTAAAAAAATTAAAAGGCCATATCCATTTGAAACAGAGATGCCGGAAACAATGAAAGAGAGTCTAACCCGTTTTCAAAAAGTTTCAATTCTGAAGAAGAAAAAGGGGAAAAAAAAATTAAAGCAGCCCATTTGAAAAAAAGTAGCTTACTTGGACATTTTTGGCTCTGACGTAAGGGGTGTCACCCACTGGGACTTTGTGAGCGACCTGGAAGGATTCAGAGCGAGTTCTGGAGACCCCGAGAGGCTTAGCAGGAGATGAAGGAGCGGATTTCGTGGGTCTGAATCCAGGAGGTGCATTCCACATATCTTGCAACATCTTCAGTTTCAAATGGGTTTTAGCAGTTAATTTGATTTGAGCGCAAGAGACGTTGAAAGAAATGTGGAATTATTCAGGAGAGGATACAAGAACTTCTTTGTGGGTTTGGTGCAGAAATGGAGGGAGGGTGGAGAATGGAGAGAGAGGTAGGGAGAAGAGATGGAGGAGGGAGGCCAACTCAGGGTCTAATTTAGCGAAGCATGGGAAGGAGAAAAGTTTTGAATCATTTGACCGTTGCAGGTTACCGTTTTACAGGCTAGCCGTTGCGTCTATAGTATAATTTAAGGGGTAATTTCAGAAACCTCCCTTGTGATTTCTGACAATTTCACTGCCCTCCCCTAAAATTTTGAAAATATCACTTACCTCCCCTATAAGCCATTTGGATTCAATGCTTATCTCATGGATGGCCAAATGACTTTACCATCCTTTTAACTTAAGAAATATTACATATTTATATGGAGAGAAACAATTTAGTCACTTGTACTAAATTAACCATGATTTTGAATATAAAAAAATTTGAAAATCTTGGATACTAAATTTTATAATGATAATTGTTAACATTTTATAATTCTTTTTTTATATTTTAGTAGTTTTTGTAATTTCTTTCTTCAAAGAAAAGATTAAAATTCTTATTTAAATATTATTATGTCATACATTTTTCATAGGAATAACAAGATGAATATGAAAATACACAAAAGAGGGTAAAGTATTAAAATATGTTTACAATTAGATTTTATTAAGTTATGGATAAAATGTAACCGCACATAATCTATTCTTTCCTTTCTTTTTCAAAATATTTGGTGTTTCTTTTCTTTTCTTTGTATAAGTAATCCAAACAAGATGGCTAGAAAAAAATTTCCTACTTTGATTTATTTGCTTTTCCATTAAAATCATACCTTTTTATTAATCCAAACATTACTTGAGAGTTGTTTTTTTTATATATAATTACAAATGATGGAAATTTCTTGTTAATCATATGAAATAATGGACCCTATAAGTTAAAGAAATAATTCAAAAAACATAACATATTTTAGCATATTCTATATTTTTTTATCAGTAGCCATCTATATTTTCTATCATTAGCCATCTATTGTGATGTTTTTTTTTTTTCATAAAAGGCCATATTTTATCTTGTTCAATTTCTTTTCAAAATTTTTTCAAATTCTAATACTTATAGCTAGTTTGGATATTTAGGTTAGAAAAAAAAAAGATGGGAAATGTTAAGTTATAAGAGAAAGGAAAAGAAGAGATTTTAGGGCATGTTTGGAAGTGAGTTTTTTGGCCAAATTTTTTAGCTACAAGTTTTTTAACAACTTTAGCTACGGGAAATTTTTTAACCCACACACTTCAAAATATCTAATACACAAAAAACTTCTATCTTTTTTTTTTTTTCCTCACCTAACCCATCCACCGTACCTTCATCGCCGGCCGCCACCTCCGCCGCTGTTTCCGGCGTTGGCCACCTATTCCGGCGCTAGTGTTCCCAAATTTTTTTTTCCTTCCTTTCTCCCTCCCTCTTTCCTTCCCTCTCCTCTCCCCCTCCCCTCCGTTGGAAACTGACTGTTGGAAGGTGACTGGTTGAGGCTCGTTAAAGCCCATGGGTCCGTACACGATGGTGGTGCTGATGGAAACCAAAATCAAGGCCCACAGATTTTGTGAATGTGATCTTATTTGGGATTGCGAATCTTAGATTTTTTAATTTAATCTTGGCAGCAAACACCAGAAGCTCCTCGTATCACAGCAACGGTATATACCAGCCTGCCTGCCCACCATGTCAAAAAACGCACTCCTTATGGAATGCAGCAGAATAAGATCATCAGAATTTGAATTCTGAGGGGGAAACGGGAGGGGGGTGGCGGGGCAGAGGGGGTGGTGTGCAAAGAGGAGGGGGAAGGGGTAGAGAAGGTGGTGGGGGGAGGGGGTGGCGGGGCAGCGGGGGAAGGCCCACAGGGAAGGGGGAGGGGTAGGGCACGGCATAGGGGCTAGCGGGGCAACGAGGGAAGGGCTGGGGGGGGAGGGGTGGCATGCATAGGGGAGGGGGAAGGGGTAGAGGGGATGGCGCAGCAGCGGGGAAAGGGCTAGCGGGGGGCAAAGGGGGTGGCATGCAGAGGGGAGGGGGAAGGGGCAGGGGGGCTGGCGGGGGAAGGGGTGGCAGGGGAAATGCAGAGGAGAAGGGGAAAGGGAGGAGAGGGGTGGCGGAAGGAGGAAGGAAGAGGAAGAAGAATAAAAAGAAGAAAGAAAGAAAGGAAAGAAAAGGAAAGGGAAAAAAGAAAGAGAAAGGAAAAAAAAAGAAAAGGAAAAAAAATTCACCTTACAAAAATTTTTACAAAATTTTTTATTTTACAAAAACTTCTATTACAAAAATTTTATACAAAAAAATTTTTCATCTTACAAAAATTTCTACAAAATTTTTTCAAAAACTTCTACAGTGCACTACAGTAAAGTTTTAGACAAACTCCAAAAAAACTCAAGTTTCAAACAGGCCCTTAATGTTGTTTGGGAGTTAAGGTAGGAAAAGGGATAATTTTGGATATATATATATATATATGTGTGTGTGTGTGTGTGTGTGTGTCAATAAAAATTTGTTCAGTACACATTTGAGGACAAAATTGGCATTTAGAAAAATTTTATTCTCAGCTTTTCCAATACTTTCCGCCCACATTCAAGGGAAAAACTTTGATAACCACCACCGTAGGAGCTCATCTATCCAAATCAGACGCTTTCCATCCATTTCTGCCCCTCAAAAACTCCCAAATACTAGAAAGAATGTTTTTTTTGTCACCTTCTTTTATTTTCTCATTAGTCATAGCTCCCAAAACTAGCTATAAGAGTTTAGGAAATTTTCGCGTAAATTTTGATTCCAAGTTAACAACTTTTCCTCTTCAATACTTTGATTTTGTTATATTATATAGTACTATGAAAAATAATCGTTGTTACTAAATTCTATTATACTCATACTAAAGTTTAGCCTTTGTTATCTATTTTTAACTAATACCTCCTTTTGATAACCAACTAGTAATAAGTTAAGGGGTATTTTTGGTATAAAATATTCTTCTTACTCTTGAAATTATTTTTTTATTGTTGATTTTTTTGAATTGGGCTAATTTGTTATAATAACATTAGTTTTAAGGGAAGTTAATGATATTTAAAAAATCTCAGGGGAGAGGATAGTGAAACTGTCATAAATCTCAGGAGAGGTTTTTGAAATAATTTAACGGAGGAGGAGAGAATGCATGCATACCTTTCCGATCGTTTGTCACGTTGACTACGCGCCACTTTTACATGTAAAGCATCTGTATTTTCATTTTCTGTGTTTTAAACCCCTGTTTTCTAATATTTCCTTGCGCCCATACCCTTCCGTTAAGTTTTGGCATTTAGCCCTCGTTTACGGTTTACCCCAGTCACTCTTTCCTAATTTTTTTTTAGCGAGTGTAAGATTTCAAATCCACGACTTCACATTTATATATTTTTCCATGCCACCTAACCCGTCTTAGAACAATTTATGTGTCGATTGGCTTCTAGTTTCTCTATTGCACATTTGCACTTATTTGTTCACTTAATCCCTCCGCATTAAACACTTCGAGGTGCCAAAATCAGCTCTTCATTTTTTTTCCCTCCCAGGAGTGTGTGATGATCATTAGTAATATATGGTGATTTCTTGCACTCATGTCTATTTTCTGGCAGTCAGATACTGCTGCTACTCGTGCATTTATTGAATCGCATTTTGAATAAAGAATTAAAAGAATCGAAATAAATGAAAGCTAGAATTCAGGAAATCTTGCATTTCCAGCAATTTCGAGGGATTCAAGTTTTGCACTAGTAAAAGGTTTATTCCATTTTGTGCCCTATAGTAATATGATCTTATTTCAAACCCCCTAAAGTGCAATTACTTTAGCATAATAACTTTAAACCTTTTTACCCAGGAAAACATAAGAGCCCTTTAGCGTGATGAATTTAAACTTTTTTATACAAGAAAATGTAGTCCACCTTTTGTTACAGGATAGAAGAAACCTACATTCATCATTTCCCCTACTTCACAAATCTGGACTTTGAGGCATCAATGGATGATCGTCCGAGGCTATTAGTCCAAACCATGTAAACTCCCGTTTAAAATAAATAGTCCAAATTTATTCTTGTACACTATCAAAAAACTATAAGATAACAGTAGTAAACTAAATCTCAACTTCCAATCCTCCATTTTCTCAATTATTTATCCCATGCAATATATGCTTGAAAGTCTAGAGGCCCCTTTTCCGACAAACTTTTCCACCTTCAAACTTCACAACGGGTCAAGCTAAGCTCCTTACAAATATCAGTCGATACTAATAATCAGAACTCCTCTTGACTTGATTTGCCTCAATTTCTGTTAACATTCTAATGTGTATCAATCTGAATGGCCTCACTTGACAAATGTCTTGCAACAAGTACGTTTCCCTCCCGGGGAATGTAAAAATAGATGTCAGCAAAACTTTAACATGAATAATGGGTTGGCATTCACTTATCATTGACGGTAAT